ATAGGAAAGTCCATAGAAACAGAATGTAGATTCATGGTTGCCAGGGGCTAGGGCTGGAGCATTGGGGAATGGAGAGTGACTGCTCATGGGTACAGTTTCTTGGAGGGATGAAAAGGTTCTGAAATTAGATAGTGGTGGTGGTTGCACAACTGTGAATATACTAAAAACCACTGAACTGCATTAAAATGGTGAATTTTATGGGATGTGGATTGTATCTTAATTTAAAAAATAAAGTCAGTGGACTCAGAGCACCTTGGGAGAGGGGATCGTAAGAAATGGTACTTTTAAGGGCAGACTCCATAGAATTGGTGGACAAGTGATCAAGATCCTAACCAGAAAGAGAAAAGGTTTGTCTAAAAGGAGGATGAATAAATAGGCTGGGCTTGGGCTGAAGAGCTGAAGTAGATGGCACTGACAGGGAGGGAGGCGTGGCTTCACAGAGCGGCCCTACCCCTGAACAGAGATTGAAAGGCTTATTTTTCAAACCTGTCCTATGTTTGAAGAGGCCAATGGATGTGGTTGTTAAAATCAAGGATTCTACACTCACTGCCTAGATTTGAATCCTGGCTTTGCCACCAGTTGTGTGACCTTGGGCAATTCAGGGAACAGCTCGGCCTCAGGAAAATGGGGAAAACAGTGCCTGGCATGCGATATGTTTCAGCTCATAACAGGTGTTATAATAACCATGATGTGGTTATTCCTTTCTCCCAGCAAGGATTCTAGATAATAACATTTGAGAACTGTTTTTGTTTGTTTGTTTTGATGGTTTTTTAAACATATTGATTTCAGAAAGGAAGGGAGAGGGAGAGATAGAAACATCAATAATGAGAGAGAAACATTAATTGGCTGCTTCCTGCACACTCCACACGGGGGACCGAGCTCGCAACTCGGGCATGTGCCCTGACTGGGAATCGAACCATGACCTCTTGGTTCATAGGTTGACAGTCAACCACTGAACCATGCCAGCCAGGCATGAGCACTGTTTTTAACTGCTAAACCTTTCTTCAAACAAAACCAAATAAAGAGAATAGAGCTGAGTGCTTAGCTGAATTGATTCCCTGTCTTCCCCCGCCAAAAAAAACACCTTCTCTCTGGATCACAGTGGGGATCCCTTTTCTTCAAACAAAACCAAATAAAGAGAATAGAGCTGAGTGCTTAGCTGAATTGATTCCCTGTCTTCCCCCGCCAAAAAAAACACCTTCTCTCTGGATCACAGTGGGGATCCCTTAGGACTCCTCTGTGGAGCATATTTTGAAAACTGCTGATATAGTGGAATCCTAGGCATGGAATCAAAAGACCTGGAATCAGGCCTTCTCTGCCATTAACAAGTTGTGTGACCGTCAGTAGGTTAATACCCCTCCCTTGGCCTCAGTTTCCCCATCCATGTAATGTAAAAGTTGACTAGGGCTATGATTTCAACCTGCTCCATAAAGCCCTGAGAGTTCCAGAGGTTCCCAGGAAGATGTGATGGGAGCATGCTGGAGGAAGATGGAAAACAAGTGAATGGGGGAGGGAAGACCTGTGAAAGGGAGCAGAGCCATTGGGTGGTAGCTGGGGGTAGGGACGGACATAGGGAAAAGAGAAAAGGAAAGCTTTTCAAAGAACGTGGTGGTGGTGTGTGTGTGGGTAACAGCAAGCTTGTGTGCTGGTGGGAAAGGTCTGGGAGATAGGGGTGCAAGGAGGGAAAACCTGGAGAAGACAGGGCATGAGATCCAGGAACACCAGCGGGCTTGTCTTTGTGGTCACATGAATTAAATGTAAGGCAAGGATATCAGGAGGGCATGTGCGGGCCTTGAGAGAAGGTATCCAGGAGAAAAGGAATAAAGTTACTAGGGAAATGTAGGAGTGCCCGGTAATGAGGTGCCCAGTGAAGCTTTGGGGTCAGGGTTAGAATGTCAAGGGAAGCCAGTCAGCTTGGTCAATATCCCCCAGGAGGGCATCTGTTTAGATGCAGGCCTGGGGGAAGCAGTGTTGAATTAGAGTTGACATTCACTGGTGGGATTGGGTAAGGGAACTGAGGGTGTTTGCAAGGGAGGGGTTATTCTGTCTAATGGACTTTAAGCAGGTAAAAGTTGAAAAATGTTTGCGGCATTAAATCTGCCTCCAGGAGTTTGTTTTATTGTTTTTAATGAGAGCACGTGGGTCCTGTAGAGCATATGGGATTAATGGCAGTTTTATAGGAAAGGGAGCAGGATTTTATCCAAAGGAGCCACGTATTTTATAGTGAATACCCTCCTTTATTGCTGCATCACTCAAATTCCTTGATTTACATTAAGAACAATGTACCCAACCACTTAGGTCTATTGTATGTGTACTTATATAAATGGCCTAATTTCAGTGCCTGGAACACAGATGTTTGATAAACATTTGGTGAACAAAGCAATCTCAATGTTAGGCAAGCCTTACAAGCAGGTGATAACACACATGGACGTGTTTAGAAAACAAGTTCCTTTATATTTCCTATTGGAGTCCTACACGTCCTTTAAAAGTTGGGTTTAATAGGTACACTTTTGTGTGGCAAAGATGACAAAGTTCTGGAGATGAATGGTGGTGATGGTTGCACCACCACATGAATATATATAATACTACAGGACTATACCACTTAAGTAGGGGGAAAGTTAATGCCATCCTCACTGTGGATTCGATATTGTCTTTAAAGAGAATGAAGTTTTGTTTTACCTAATGGCATAGACTGAAATCCAAGATACATTAAGTGAAGAAAGCAGGATGCAAACCAGTCAGTGTGTACAGTGTGTTCCTTTTACGATAAGACCAAATGGTGACATATACTTATGCACATATCATTACCTGTATATGAACATTATCTCCAAAAGTGCAACAGAAATCATGTTTAACTCAGAAGGGCCTGGAGCAAAAGTAGGAGGAACATTTACTGTTCACTCTATGTATTTTCATATTGTTGACCATGAGTATGTATTACTTTTTCAAATATAAGAACCTTAAAAAGTGAGTGTATTCCTTAAAAATTGTCCTTGTTTTTAAGAACCTAAATCTAGCCCTGGCTGGTTTGGCCCAGTGGATAGAACGTCAGCCTGCGGACTGAAGGGTCCCAGGTTCGATTCTGGTCAAGGGCACATGCCCGGGTTTCAGGCTTGATCCCCAGTAGGGGGCATGCAGGAGGCAACCGATCAATGATTCTCTCTCATCATTGATGTTTCTATCTATCTCTTCCTCTCCCTTCCTCTCTGAAATCAATAAAGATATATTTTTTTTAAAAAAAAGAACCTAAATCTATATAAGGATTAGTCACCTGAGTTTCAGAATTATATCAACTGAATCCTAAAGAGGATGCTGTAAGTGCAGAATGTGTCTCAGACTTTGCAGTCATTTATCAGATATCTTGAGGGTTTCTAACACCCTTTTGTTCCTTCTCTATATGCAGCATAATAAATGTGCCACATACTCTGTGGGAATGCAGAAAACTTACTCCATGATCTGCTTAGCCATAGACGATGATGATGATAAGACTGGTAAAACGAAGAAGATCTCGAAAAAGCTTTCTTTCTTGAGTTGGGGCACCAACAAGAACAGACAGAAGTCCGCCAGCACCTTGTGCCTCCCGTCGGTTGGGGTTGTCAGGCCTCAAGTCAAGAAGAAGCTCCCGTCTCCTTTCGGCCTTCTTAACTCCGACAGTTCTATGTACTAATGTGAGGAAACAACACTCAGGCCCAAAACATTTCCAGTGCTGGCTAGGCCTTCATATTTGTGCCATAACGGGAAATTTCTAAATATCCTCATCCTGTTTTCTCACAGTGTAACCTTACAACAGATGTCTATGAGTGAAAGTAACAAGAAACTTCTAGAAATGTGTGGAAAACAAATTTATTCAAGGAATGTCACCATATTGCTGCATGTTATTTATTATACAAAGTATTGTAAATAGAATAGTAATGAAAATATGACTATTTTTAATGGCTACAACTATGACTTTTAGTTACCATCAAAGTTAAATTGGGGTTACCTATATTGGTCTTATTTGTAAATTTCCAGGCTTCGGTAATAGATCATTCCTTAACTCAGAATCTAGATGAGCCCAAATTAAGGCAATCAAGGGACCATAACGATGGGTTTAAATTAGTATTACCATAAAGGTTACAAAGAGGTGCTTTCTAAGGGTACTTCATTAACCGAAAACGACAAGATTTTACTGCTATTTCTATATAATATGAATGCAATTTCCAGATAAAGCCTGGTATCCAATTTGTCATGACTTATTAGATAAGCAGTTTTGGAGTAGCCTTCCTTCTAGTTACCTGTCATTCACAAGTGGCTAACACAGCGGCAGTGTTAGATGGAGATGCTGTCTACAAGGTAGATAATATACTGTTTGATACTCAAAACATTTTTCATTTTGTTTAAAGTAGAAAGTACATAATTGTATATTTTAAGTCTTTGAAATGGGTTGAATTTTATAAGGTAATGATGTAAATGATTCATTTGACTTTTTAAAATGACATTCTTACCAGTTGATTTCTCATGCTATAAGGTGGATGATACCGTGATTCTAACAAGATTCACTGTTGACATAGTACAAGTTATATAGTTTAAAAACATAGCATTGAGATCTAATTTTGAGAATTAACAAGAATTTAAAATGTTCTCTAGTGTGCAGTATCAAAAGGGAAGCAACACCTTTGGGAAAGTTTAAAATAAACAGATTCATTTGCCTGAGTTAATGTTTTTTACTTTTTCACTTTAATTCTCTCCTTTCAAAATGTTTCTATCCTAATGCACAAATGATTTCATTGTTTGGCTTTTTAAAAAACTACTAACATTTCACAAAACTAGACTTTCAAGTTATCTTAGTATCTTTGAAAACATATGGCATCTTTAATTTTATTTATTTATTTACTTAATCTTCACCCGAGGATATTTTTTCCATTGGTTTTAGAGAGAATGGGAGGGAGGGAGGGAGACAGACAGACATCAATTGGTTACCTCCCTCATGGCCCCTGACTGGAGCAGGATTGAGCCTGCAACTGAGGTACGTACCCTTGACTGGGAATGGAACCTATGACCCTTCAGTCCGAGGGCTCACGCTCTAACCACCGAGCAAAACTGGCGAGGGCAGTATTTATTTTTTGAAGAGGCAAGTGTACCTTTGGATCCCCAGATCTCTCTGGACACAGCTGCCCTGCCATTCTCCTGTGTATCTTCACACTGTTGGGCTATACATTTACAAACACATTCCCCCTCCCGCTCTCCCCACACACACATTGGCTTTTTATCTTTAAGTGGGTACTCACCACCCCAGGCTTTCTGTGTTCAGATGTGCCCAGTGATGATAAACAAACTGTGCAGCCACCATAAAGGAAGCGATTGAGGGAGGAAACGCAAAGGCTGTGCAACGTATTTACACTGGCAGCAACCCTCGAAGCACAGGTATATTAAGACCAGACCTGAAGAACAGTGGCTTTGCCACCAGGAACAAGGGGCTTATGGTACACAGTGCTTCATTGTAGGTTTGTCTCCTTTAGAAGGTTATAACCACTGAAACCTGATAAGACCTTTCCATTAGATGTAGGTCAAGGTCACACATTCAAATCTGCCCAAGTTGGCTTTTTTATCAATCTGAGAGTCTCTAATTCAAGGGACTCTCTTTGGAAGATCGCCACTGGCCCTCTTCATGGTAGCAGAACCAGGGCGGCACCAACTTAAGTGACAGCACACAGCAGCACAGGGCAGCTGGCAGGTTCCTCTCAGGCCTCACCTCATCTGTCACTAGTTGCTGTGAGAGGAAATCTTTTTTTCTTGATTTTTAAACATGAAAACAAGATCCTGTAGTTGGTGGTGTAAAGTAGAACCCGTAGTGGATGCTGTGAGAAGAGCTGTCACCGGGACTGTGTGAAGAACGCATGAATTTGCTGTGCTGCTGCTTGCCCAACAACTTGCTCCAGTTCTTGGATGGAAGCATTACTCAGCTGCTGGATACTCGGGAACTTCTGAAGCAGAAGGGAAGCTTTGATTTTCCCAACTCCTGGGATCTGCTGCACAGTTCGAAGTAAGAATGGCTCAGAGAGCTGAGCCTGTTTCTTCCTGAGAAAAGGGTTCTTACTGGGCTCTTTGGTTTGCTCTTGAACCTAAACCGAAATTGAAGAGCCTGTGAGCACCCTCTAGAGGACTAACAGTTGTTTCAGTTTTTCTATTTGGTTCAACTTCTCACTACAAATGTTTTCATATATCATGAATACAAATTTTCATCAGCAAAATTATTGAAAGGTGAACCATATGACTACACAAAGGAGTAAGAGATAAAATTTTTAAAAATAAAAACTTGGGTTTTCAGAATGGTTAGGATAAAACCAATGAAAACATACTCTGAGGAATTCAAATTTGTTCCTATGATCCACTAAGAAATGTTTCAGCTGTATGAGATTAAGTGATGCCTATCTCTAAATTGGACCTGCCCATCAAAGGAGAAACCCAGTCTTCAGTTAGTTATGGATACAGAAAGGCAGATAATAGCACTCCAGCAAGGAAAGTTAGGAACACTAAAACAAAAAATGTGGCAGAGAGCATGGAGGGATCTGTGAACAATTTGGTTCTCAATCTTAGCTGCACATCAGAGGGGAAGATTTAACAACAACAACAACATAAGACAGATTGATGCCTAAGCCCTACTCCCACACTCTGATTTTTAATTGGTCTGAGGTAAGGCCCATGTATTACTGTTTTGAAAAGTTTCCCCGCAAAATTCTGACATACAATCAAGTTGAATAATCTTCAGCGAGGTTTAAAAACAACAACATAAACTTGCACACTGCATGCTAATGCTTAAAAGATACGTGGGGATGAGGTAGAGCCGCTGGGCCTTTTCCCCAGCGTCAATGCAGAATAAATGATGGAGTCATCACAGCCTGGGAGTCTCAAATCAGGTCTCCAACCTGTTCACTTGTTACACAGTTGCCTAAAATAGGGATCAAGCTCAGCTGGTTGCAGGGGCAGCTTCTGGACTTAAATTCCTCAAAAAGGTTTTATAAAGCCACACAGAATGATTAGATTGCATTGATGGACTCAGGACCATAACAAGGGCAGCTGCTAAAAGATCCAGGAAGGCCAGTTGAGAGCCTCAAGACAGGGCTCTGATGGTGGAGTAGGAATCAGTACTTACTAACTGGATGATGATGCAGGACGCTTCCACCTGGCCGGCCACTGGGAGCAACACCATCCCAAGGTCCAGCACAGTAAACTTCTGTATGGCTGGGAAGTACTGTTCACTCGTCGGCGTTTTTTCAACTATTGCAATTCCTTGAAGATTACTGGACTTCAAAGAAAAGTAAAAACAACAGTAAACCATTTGGTAACAAAATTCCTTTCAAGCTTAAGAAAGCTATCCCTCCAAAGTGCTTGGAATGGCCAATGATTTTATATAAATTATCCCATACACAAGAGGGAGGAGGACTAGAAATTCATTTTCAATGTCAGTTTCTTCAATTCAGTACTTACATTTCTAACGCGAACCAGCCTCTTTCGGTAGCTATTTCCTGCCACCAAATCGGCTTCTGTGATATAAAGAATGCAGGATCTGACCGACAAGTAAAAATCTACCGGTGCTAGGCCATCCTCAAAAACAAGTTTAACTTTACCTTAAAATGCAGACAAGAAAATAAGTTTGAATGAAAAAGGTAGCAGTTGGTTGAACGTTTTTTAAAAGTGGGGTGAGGACAGAGAGGGTTTATGCAGAGGGCAGCCCACCGACCTTGCATGCCCTGTGCCAGCTGCGACCCGCGCCATTTCTCATTGGCAACAACGTGCCCCAAAGGCACGTGCACAGGGCCTGTGCCATCAGGGGGGTTCCTATCCATGGCGAGCTCGATCTATAGAGGGAAATGCAAAACTGAAGTGCAAGGCTGTCCTGCACACGGCCCCACGTTCCACTCGAAGCCGGGGCGGGGCCTCTCGGCACGGGCCGGTCGTCAGTGTCTCTAATTATTTGCCAAAGCCTAAGAACCAGGAGATTCCTGTCCTGGAAGCCCAGGCGCCCATTTTCGTCACCTGCCTTACTCCTCACACCCCAGCTCCATCCGCGCCCTGACTCCACAGTCGAGTCCTGTCTTGCCCGCCCTCCGCCTCGCAGGGCCTGAGATAGGCTATGGCGTCAGAGATCGACATCTCCTCTGGCCAATAAGAGAACGGACAGCAGCACCGTTTCCGCCCCGGAGGGATTTTGAATGGGACCCGCTGGTTGCCAAGAGCGACGGGTATGAAGTATCCTTGGCTCTAATTGGCCGGTGAGAGAGCAGAGCCAGTAGCAGACGTGGTTGTTGCGGAGTCCCCTGAGTAGAAAAAGCGTCCGGGGCCAGGCCAGCGGGCGGGGACCAGGCTATAGGGAGCGGTCCTGGGCTTTGAGGAGACTTGCTTGTCGGTCCAGACCCGCTGGGACCATTCCCCACAGCAAAGATGCTCCTGGGGGTTCCGAGAGGCCGCAAGAGCCAGTTTGTAAGTAAATTCTTGCGCGGCCTGCGCCCTGGCCTGGGGGCCAGGATTTAAAGGAGGAGGGCTTGGGGTTTGGCTTGAGATTGAGGCCAGGTAGCGGCGCCTCGGGAAGTGGTTTACCATTCGAAAAGCCCCGGTCTTTTGTGCTCTAAAGAATCCTTTATCCCGGGTGAGCCCCAGTCGGACAGGAATCGCCCAGTCTCCCCACGTCTTTCTCTCAGGTGTCGGAGAGCTCACTCCTGCCCGCCACAGACCTGCCCCACTGCTGGGTGTCCCCCTGGGGAGTCATTCCTGATTCCTCCCCGCCACCCACCACGGACACCCTGTGAGAAGTTCTTTAGAGTCTACCCACCAAATACATCCGGCAGCTGTTCCCGCCCCGGCCTGTCCAACTGCATCTACCTGAACTGATGCAGCAGCTCCTCGCTATTTCTTTGCCCTTTTTTTTTTTTTTTTTTAAGATATTTTATTGATATTTTACAGAGAGGAAGGGAGAGAGATAGAGAGTCAGAAACATCGATGAGAGAGAAACATCGATCAGCTGCCTCCCGCACATCTCCCACTGGGGATGTGCCCGCAACCCAGGCACATGCCCTTGACTGGAATCGAATCCGGGACCCTTCAGTCCGCAGGCCGACGCTCCATCCACTGAGCCAAACCGGTTTCGGCTCTTTGCCCTTTTTTGCTACTTACTTGCTCTAGTAACCTGACTCCAACAATCCGTTAACACAAACCTCCCATCCCCATCCCGCACAACCAATCTATTGATCTTACCAGTGTTCTCACTGTCCTCATTTCCAGCCCTAGTTTCTAATTCCATAGTCTATCATTATAATCACTCCTGTATACACCCCAACTCCCGTGCTGCTGTCTCTTTCGCCGCTTGCCTGGCGAAACTCCAAACCTACTTATATCCAGTTCTCCATTAACGTAATACTTCAAGCATTTTGGTAAGGGCATTCCTGAACTCCGTTTTAAATCGAGGCTAGCAAGCATGTCTGACTTGGCTACCTGTTTGCAGCCCCCGCACCTGCAGCGAGCATTTCAGACAGGCTGAGAAGCAGGGAGGACATACTTGAGGCATATTTTTGCATTGCAATTTTGCTTACTCAGCCTGGCATTATTGAGTTCCTGCTCTGTGTCAGACACCCACAATTAATTGACAGCCTATAGCCACACTGTACAAAGGATAGACAAACCCTTAAGTAATTCATCGTAGAGAATATGTGTAGAGAAGAGGAGGGGGGCAGCAAGAAATGAATCTGGGTTCATTGGTGTTCATTGGTAGGAACCAATAGATAGCAGCTTAGCAGCCACACTAGACTCTTTACCTGTTATCAAGAGAGGGGGGCTGCCCATGAGGGTTTTCCTGGTGGGTTGAGATGGGTTCATCCTGTGTTTTAGAGGCTGAGGTAGGAGGACCACAGCTGGAAATGATTATAGTGGTACAGTGAGAAATGTTTAGCATATTATGGGAGATTCACTCTATTAAAAAAAAAAAAAAAAGCAAAACTCATGAGGCCTTTTTGGAGGATATACTGGATGTGAGCCCCTAAGGATTCAAAGGTGAAGAAAACCTTTTTTTTTTTTTTTCTCCTTGAGCATCTCCTTGGGGTGGGGAAAGAGGATGGGGAGTCGGGGAGGAGGCAAATATTAAACTGTCAAATTGTTTGACCAGTACGGGATGGTAGGTGCTCCACAGTGAGGTAAACAAAGAATAGAGGAATACAGCAGACACTGCTCTGGAATGCCTGTTCTTGGGGTTGGCATGCAAGTGAAACTGGGAGGTTGAAGGGCTGCTGCAGGAGACATTTGGGAGGTCTGTCCATCCCTCCTGAAGGATGCCCCCAACCCTGGCTGTTCCCCTTGGTTGTACCTCTCTTCTCTCCCATACCTTATGCCTACCACTGCTTCATTAATCTTTCCAGGGGCCATTTTCAGTGGGTGCTCCTCACTAGGCCACAGGATCACCTTAGTCTTGTTTCAGAACTCTTCAATGGAAACAATCCCCATGCTTATTCCCAACCCATTGTTCTAGCCTCTCCCTCTCAGATGCCTCTATATTGCTATAATCCCGCAAACTGGATACTTGTTATTTCCAGAGCAGTGCCACTAATGTCTTGCTTCATTCCTTTGTTCATGCTGTTCTCTCTTCCTAGAATGCTTTCCTTCATATTTCCCAAATGTGAGAGCAGTGGCCGTCTTTGAAGATCTAGTCTAAATTTCTCTGTGGTTTTCTCCAAGAGGCCCCCTTCCCTCCCTGGGTCACCTCAGCACTTTTTCTTATCTTTCCCCTGGCACATTCCATAATTCCCTGTTGTATGATAAGTTTTTGCATGTTTTCCTCTGTACTCTCCCTCCTTGAGGATGTCGACAGGTTTATTAATTGCTGTCATGGTATTTTGCTCCTAGTAGGTGTGAATGAATGGCTAGTGCACAGAATATGATTGGGCTATTCTCAGAAACTTCTAAGAGACTCCCAGTTGCCTATAGCAGATTCCCCTACTTTCAATGTGTGTTATGAACTAGTTTTTGTTATTCTGCATCATCAAAACTACCTAAAATCTACAGGTATAGAACAAAGTGCTAAGTGCTAAAGTTCAGGGTTGATGAAGACAAGACGGTTGCCTGCTCCCAGGAAGCTTCTGTTCTGTAGGGGGTTGGCAAGTGAGGGCCTAGGCATTGGTCGGTAAACTCATTAGTCAACAGAGCCAAATATCAACAGTACAAGGATTGAAATTTCTTTTGAGAGCCAAATTTTTTAAACTTAAACTATATAGGTAGATACATTGTTATTAACTTAATTAGGGTACCCCTAAGGCTTAGGAAGAGCCACACCAAGGGGCCAAAGAGCCGCATGTGGCTTGCAAGCCACAGTTTGCCGACCACGGGCCCTAGGGTCACCGGAGGCAGTGCTATACGACAAGTCGAGGTGCTTCGGGGCTCCCCTGGGGGTCAGGAAAGCTGCTCTGAGGAGGAAAGGTGAGAAGGCCCCACTATAGGCAGCTGTAATGGTGCTCCCTGGGTGGGCATGCTTGCCGGGCCAGATGAGCAAGGGGAGGAGTGGGCCTCCTGGTGGGGCTAGATCCCTGAACTGCCAGTGTCCCTTCTCAGGCCTAGGGAGGGGTGGTGGCAGGACCCAGGTGATTCTTTACACCAGTGACCTGTTCTGGGTTTTATTTGTGCAGAAACACATCATCCATGGCCTTCTACCTGCAGCCAGCATTGCACCGAAGCCAGCTGTGCCCCGCACACCTCCTCCCCGCAGCCCCAACCCCTCTCCAGAGAGACCGAGGTGAGTCTCAGGTGAGCAGGCACTGAGGTCACCCTTGTGCTCAGTTGCCAAGTGGTGGGTCCTAGAACTGATCCAACTGGCAAGATTACAAGTAGGGTGATTAGAATCATGTCCTTTGAAATATTTATCATGGTTCCATAATTTAATATGATTTCTCTGTGGGATAATGGCCTATCTCTTTCAGGGGTGGACTCCTCACATTTTGTAACTGAATGCAGTTAGTATTTTCCAAAATAGTAAAGCCCAAGTATTCCAGTTGATGGCATGTTAAAAGGAATTTTAATTGTGGACATAATTTTCTCTTTAAACGTAAGTCGGCCTTTCAGAAGAACCGCTCTGTGGGAGGGAATGAGAAGCGGGTTCACTTCCCAGGGCCTGGGATTCCCACGTCCTCCAGTGCTCCTAACACATCCGTTAATGACTGTGTTTTATACATCATCGAAGCTAAGGCCCCTGCTGTGCTCTCCAAGATTATAAATATAGGAGAATTTTAGACTGTTTTTTATCCAGTAGGTACCTGGATGCATGACTTGACTATTAACAATGAGAACAAATTTCATTCCAGGGTGATACCTTCTAGTGTTCTTTGAAACTAGAATATTGGATGCCTCCTGATTAAAAAACACAAATATTTTTAGTGTTTGTTTTCTCCTTTAGTATGATCTTGATAATAAGAATAGCCATTTATTAGTACTTACTCTGTGTCAAGGAATCTAGTAAGTGCTCTAGAAGTATTATTTCTTTTCATCCTCTCATGACCCTATGAGAGAGGTCCTGTTGGCATCTCTCTGAGCTCAAGTGTTCAGCATTTGCCTGAAGTCTCACAGCTGGCAAGCAGTGGCATCGCTGCGATGCACTTGAAGGTCTGTCCAGCTCCATTAAGTAGTGTTATTAGAACTTAAATGTTTAGATAGCAGCAGCAATAATGAGAAGGTTAGCTTTACATCCCATTATAAAGCAGGAAAGCAAAAGAACAGGTCATATCCTGCCAAGCATGCTATAGACTCATTAGAAAACTTCTATAGTTTCTGTGATTTACAGAAATATCTTCCCAGATTGTAATCTTTATAAACCCCAAATAAACAACATGGCTTTAGCAAACTTAGCATACTTCTAGATCTTTTTATTTTAAAAAAATAACATTTAAATTAATCTTTGATATTATTCCACTTCATGTGTAGTAATAATAGTGTAAGAGTCTTTTGCTATTTACTTCGATTGCCTCCTTCCCATCCATTGTGTAACTGTTGTCATACATTTTATCTATTATAAACTGCATAATATATTACTATTTTTGCTTTAGACAGTTGTTTATCTTTTTTTAAAAAAATATATTTTATTGATTTTTTACAGAGAGGGAGAGGGATAGAGAGTTAGAAACATCGATGAGGGAGAAACACTGATCAGCTGCCTCCTGCACATCCCCTACTGGGGATGTGCCCGCAACCAAGGTACATGCCCTTGACCGGAATCGAACCCGGGACTCTTCAGTCCCCAGGCTGACGCTCTATCCAGTGAGCCAAACCGGCTAGGGCCTGATCTTTTATTTTAATATAAAAACTATTTGAATATAGACTCCCTGGATTAGAGATCTAGTTTCATCTCCTATTAGCTTAGAAATCTTGGGCAAGTCATTTAATTTACATGAAAAATGGAGGTGACAATAATATCTCTTCATATAGTTGATGTGAGAATGAATTAAGATTGTTTGAAGGCACATAACAGACTGCAGGCCTGTGGTCAGTAGTTATGCACTAAACATTGTAGAACAGATGGTATGTTTTGATTAACTTATGTATCCTGTTGTTTAACTTTTTGTTCACCATCTCACTGGGATGCTTTTGTCCATAGGTCTGCTCTAGCTGCAGTCATTCTAGCAACAACATTGACTGGCCGGACTGTTGCCCTTCCTCAGCCACAACGGATATCCCAGTCTGAGAGTGACGTGACTCACCTTGAAAATGACAGTTTCATCATGCCCTATGCCACCACCTCAGAGCTGAGGCATCAGTAAGGACCATATCTCTGATTCTGCTTCCTCTAGGACAGCGGTTCTCAACCTGTGGGTTGCGACCCCTTTGGGGGTCGAATGACCCTTTCACAGGGGTCGCCTAAGACCATCGGAAAACACATATGTAATTACATATTGTTTTTGTGATTAATCACTATGCTTTAATTATGTTCAATTTGTAACAATGAAATTGGGGGGTCACCACAACATGAGGAACTATATTAAAGGGTGGCAGCATTAGGAAGGTTGAGAACCACTGATCTAGGAGCAGAGGAGGAGCGTGTGTGTGTGTGTGTGTGTGTGTGTGTGTGTGTGTGTGATTATGATTAGAGCTTAGTAGTGAGGTTTTTTGTTTTGTTCTTTTTTAAAATATATTTTTTTTTCTTTTTTTTTTTTTAATATATTTTTATTGATTAAAATATTACATATGTGTCCTTGTCCCCACGTTACCCTCTAGCCCCCCCCCCCCCGCTCATGCCCTCACCGCCCCCCGCCTTTTATCTGTCATGCTTATTCAATTTTGTTTTTGTTTATATTTTTATATGCCAAATATTCGGTATGTTTCATGTAGTAAGATGTATCAGCCTTTTCTTTGTATTTCCTGTCATTATTGTCAAATCTAGAAAGAACTTCCCTATTATATACAGCATTATATATATGCTCATGTATTTCCTCCTAGGACATGTTTATATTTTTGGTTTTTACATTTTAATCTTGACTCCATTTTTAGATATTTGAATATAGTCTATTTTTCTCCTGGTAGCAATTATACTTTGGCTGAATAAGAGCTAAATATGAGGACAAGATTCTAAAATGTATTGGAAAGAATAAGCAGCTAAGACCATCAGAAGAAATTTGGAAAGGAAGAATATTGACCCTGGGGGTAGGCTGCATTAGTCCCATTATATATTTTTTTGTTAATCCTCACCCAAGGATATTTTTTCTATTGATTTTTAGAGAGAATAGAAGGGAGGGAGGGAGCAGGGAAGAGAGAGAGAAACATTGATATGAAAGAGACACATCGATTGGTTGCCTATTGCAGGCATCCTGACTGGGGTGGGGATCGGGGATGGAACCTGCAACCCAGGTATGTGCCCTTGACTGGGAATCAAACCGGTGAACCTGTGGTGCATGGGCCAACAATCTGCGTGCTGAGTCATACCGGCCAGAGTTAGCCCCGTTATATTTTAAAACCTATAGTTGAAGTAGTTAAAATAGAGGAGGACAGGTTCAGTGATAGAGGTGTTCATGAACACCTGACGTGAACCTAGTGTTGGGAAGCATATTGAATCTCTAGTAAAGGCAGCTGCACAGATTAAAAGGGAAGGAAAGGATTCAACAGTATATGGATTAGCAATTTTATTGGAAAAATCAGCTTTGCCTAATTCATATATCAAAACAAATTTCTATTGAATGAAAGTATTGATTTGTATATATACATAAATAAGACTATTAAATCTTATATCCAATCTTATCAAAACTGCTATTTACTCCTACACTAAGAATCTAGATGGTTAAAAGAAAGTTTTAAAAAATCATCTGTATGTTAAAAAAATTAATAGAATAGGAAAAATATTTGTAATAAATACAAAGTCAGGCTTTTAATTTTAGAAGAAAAGAAAGTTAATTTCAAATTAGAATTGACATATTAGAAGCAAAATAGATAAATGGAGAAAGGACACGAACAGACAATCATGAACAGAGGAATTAAGACTTGCACACAGATATATGGAAAAATATCTAGTCTTGGTAAGATGCAAATTTATATTGTGAGATTTAATTTCTTTTGGCAAGTTTTAGAATATTATTACCAACGTAGTCACAGGGTGGAGAAATGATTTGTGAAATAATCTTGTGTGGTATGCATGCAGACCCACAAAATGTTTATACCATGGACTCAGCAGTTTGCCATCTGGTTTGTTTTATAGGATTAATCCTAAAAACAGAAGAGATTATTTGCACATGGATGTCCATTACAGGGTTATTTATAGCAGTGAAAATTGGGAGGGAGAAACCAGTTAAGGGAAATGGCTGACTAAACTGGTGTAACTACTTGAGTCTTTACCTTATAACGTTTTGACTTTAAAAACTTGTTAACAGTGAAGCAGATTGTATTGTATGCAGTGATAAGTGTAAGAATCTAGGTAAAAAACTAGAAAGAAATTTTAAGAGTGTGCAGAGAGCCTGCTGGTGTGGCTCAGTGGTTGAGCGTTGACCCATGCACCCATGGTCACCTGTTGGATTCCCAGTCAGGGTCCATGCCCAGGTTGCAGGCTTGAGCCCAAGCAGGGGGTGTCCAAGAGGCAGCCAGTCAATGATGATGTTTCTCCCTCATCAATGTTTTGATCTCTTTCTCTCCCTTCCTCTCTCTAAAAATCAATAAAAACATATTTTATAAAAAGTGTGTAGAGAGATGGGATAGGGGATGACTTAATCCTTTAGAGTCTATGTATTTTGTAAAAGTAGTTTTATGGTGGGGGCTCAGAGGCAGTGCATTTAATACACGTACGTGTACCAGTGTGAAGTAAGTGGCTGCTTTAATGTTGGAATACAGACCAAACTGGCAGAGTGAGACAGGAAGAAGTTCTTTGCCATCCTTCGAAATGCTGGGCCATGGGGAGGAAGAGGACACTGACTCGCACCTGTCATCTAGCAACAAGGAGTCCTCAGAAGTCAGTGCTCATAAGGAAGAGGGAAGAACTGGCGATGCTGTGTATACCACGCCACGCAGAAATCAGGTATTTGTCACATTCCAGAATTTCCACTGCACCTCGACATTAACTTATAGTAAATTGTGTATGTGTAAGGACTTTCTTTTCACTCTTCTACCTTTGATGGCTTTTGTTCTGTGGCTTATTTTTTTAATGTGTCCAGTCTCGTTTTCTATCTGGCTAGGCTAAAATTTAAAATTTTTCCTTTACCTTTCAAAGACAAACATCAACATTTTCAGTGTAGATTTTCTTCTGATGCTGAGTAATCCTGTTCATTTCTTAGACCCCAAAAGCTAACTTTCCTATCACTTTTCCAATATCAGTATGCATAGTTGCAACCTTTCTTCTAAGTCATGCCTGGCAAAAGGAGTATCTTCATTTATCTCCATAGCAGCTGGTATTGTCTGAGTGGTTACTGTGAGTCTCTATTTCAGGCTCTTACATGTATTTACCTCCCAGCATCTTGGTGAGGTAGATTCCGTTTTTGAACCTATCACAGGTGAAAACCGAGGTACTGAGAGGTTGAAGGAGCCACTGCCCGACTGGTCTGGTTTACAATCTGTGCTCCTAGGTTTTGAAAACCGGTTAGTGCCATTTCTTTAATAGCAAAAGACAGCACTGTAATTTCTTTTTTCCTTTCTCTTTTTTCACCATCATTATAACATGTGTTAGCATGGTGACTACACATGAAGACTAGCAGGTTCAAAGTATATTCATATTGATTATATTATACTAGAGGCCTGGTGCACAAAAATTTGTGCACTCGGCAGGGAGGGGGGTCCCTCAGCCTGGCCTGTGCCCTCTCCCAGTCTGCGACCCCTCGGGAGATAACGACCTGCTGGCTTAGGCCTGCTCCTGGGTGGCAGAGGGCAGGCTCAATCCCTAGGTGCAGCCCCTGGTCGGGCTCAGAGCAGGGCCAACTGGGGAGTTGGGGCGCCGCCCCCTGTCATGCACAGAGCAGGGCGATCGGGAGGTTGTGATGCCACCCTCAGTCACGCTCAGGGTAGGGCCGATTGGGGGGTTGGGGCACTGTCCCCTGTCATACTCAAGGCAGGGTCGATGGGGAGGTTGCGGCGCCACCCCCTGTCACGCACAGAGCAGGGCCAATCGGGGTTGGGGCACTGCCCCCTGTCATGCACAGAGCAGGGCCCATCAGGGGGGTTGGGGCTCTGTACCCTGTCACGCACAGAGCAGGGCCAATCAGGGGGTTGGGGCACTGCCCCCTGTCACGCACAGAGCAGGGTCCATCAGGGGGTTGGGGCGCCGCCCTCTATCACCCACAGAGCAGGGCCGATCAGGGGGTTGGGGCGCCACCACTCTCACACTCAGGGCAGGGCCGATGGGGAGGTTATGGCTCTACCCCGTCACACACAGAGCAGGGCCCTTTGGGGGGGGGGGGGGGTTGGGGCGCCACACCCTGTCACACACAGAGCAGGGCCGATCAGGGGGTTGGGGCACTGCACCCTGTCACACAAAGAGCCGCAGGGCGATCAGGGGGTTGGGGAGCTCCCCCCTATCAGGCACAGAGCAGGGCTGATTAGGGGGTTGGGGCGCCTTCCCCTGTCACGAACAGAGCAGGGTGGATAGGGAGGTTGTGGCCCCGCCCCCTGTCACACACAGAGCCGCAGGGCGATCAGGGGGTTTGGGCGCTGCCCCCTGTCATGCTGATCCCAGTGCCGGGAGGCCTCTCGGCTCCGCTGATCCTGGTGCTGGGAGGCATATTACCCTTTGACTATATAGGATTGAGGCCTGGTGCACGGGTGGGTGCCGGCTGGTTTGCCCTGAAGGGTGTCCTGGATCAGGGTTGGGGTCCCCACTGGGGTGCCTGGCCAGCCTGGGTGAGGGGATGATGGCTGTTTGCAGCTGGTCACACACCCTTCAGGGTGGGGGTCCCCACTGGGGTGCCTGGCCAGTCTGGGTGAGGGGCTGAGGGCTGTTTTCAGGCTGGGGGTGACTGAAGCTCCCAACCGCTCCTTTTTTTCTTTTTTTTTTTTATTCTGGGCCAGCTTTAGCTTTGAGGCTTGGCTCCAGCTCTTAGGCCTCACTGCTGAAAGTAGGTTTCTGGCCTTTGCTTACAGTGTTGTGATCCTGCTGGCTGAAGCCCGGTGGACTAAAGCAGGTTTCTGGGGTTTTGTTTAGCTTCTATATTTGTTACATAGTTGCTTAGAGTTGCAGCTCAGAGGCCTGCAGCGGCAGGCGGGGAACGTTGGAGTCCTCCGTCACTGAAGCAAGCAACCCTCATGTTAGTTTCAAGCTGCCTAGCTGCCGGCCACCATCTTGGCTGGCAGTTAATTTGCATATTGCCCTGATTAGCCAATGGGAAGGGTAGCGGCCGTACACTAATTACCATGTTTCTCTTTTATTAGATAGGATTGATTACCCTCAACTATATTGAATCACATTTTTTAAAATACATATTTTATTGCTTTCAGACAGGAAGGGCGAAGGAGAGAGAGATAGAAACATCAATGATGAGAGGGAATCATTGATTGTCTGCCTCCTGCATGCCCCCTGCTGATTGCAATTGAGAGGTTTCATGCTAACCTTTACATTGTCTTGGCAGATGGGATGAATGAAAGGTCCTTAAACTGGAAAGGGATTTCAATTTCCCATAGTCTCACGATTAGTTTCTTTTTTTCCTTGGGGGCTGGTAGACAGTAGCGGAGGAAGATGCATTGACCTTTTCTTAGCATTAATATATGCTAGGCAGCTTCCATGTACCATTTTAAATATCTTTTTAAAATTGATTTTTAGAGAGAGAGAAAGGGAGAATCACTGATCAGCTGCCTCCTGCACGCTCCCTACTGGGGATGGAGCCCACAACCTGGGCATATGCGCTGACCGGGAATCAAACTAGTGACCTATTGGTGCATGGGTTGATGTTTAACCACTGAGCAACACCAGCCAGGCTACATGTACCATTTCATTTACTTCACACCCTTGGGGGTAAGTGTGTGAAGAAACAGGATAAATGACTTGCCAACCAACCATCCACTTGCAGAGGCAGGATTCAGACTAGGGTGACCAATTTTTCCTATTAATTAAAATTGGTGTTATAGTCCTTGTGCCTATTAAGAATATTTCTTAGAGATAAAGTTATTTTTAAAAAAACAGGCCAAATATTCTTAAGTTTATTATATGATTAAAATATATATCTTTGGCCCTAGCTGGTTTGTCTCAGCTGATAGTCAGCCCGCGGACTGAAGGGTACTGGGTTCAATTCCAGTCAAAGGCACGTGCCTTGGTTGCAGGCTTGAACCCAGGCCCTGGTTGGGGCTTGTGTAGGAGGCAACCAGTCGATGTCCCTCTCCTTCACACTGATGTTTCTTTCTCAGTCTTTCCCTTTCCCTTCCATTCTTTCTAAAAATCAGTGAAAAAACACCCTTAGGTGAGGATTAACAAACAAACAAAAAAATATGTATCTATCTTTGAAAAAAAAAGGGGTGTGTGGAGTATGTAAAACTGCTGTTTAATCACTAGATAACACCAGCTCTGAAGAAGATAGTGCCTGTGGGTTACATTTTAATTTAAATAATAAAAGTAAAATTTCCTTCCCTATATTTACTATGGACATTTTGTAATCTGAGGTAAGTTATAATTTTATCCTTTTTTATGAATCATTCATACTTCCTTTAAAATAAAGAGTTGTCAAAACTAGTAAAGTAAGAACAGACCAACCCAAGCAGGCACTTTGGATATAAGTCTCTATACCTCATGCCTCTCTCTGTTGCAGAGTAGTTTGGGCAACCATCTTCATAGAATGTGTGCACCTGCGCAGAAATGGCCTAACAAATGCAAAGCAAATCTTGTTTTCAGGAGTTTTCTTATTGGTGCCACCCAAAAGTAAGGAATAAGTGGGGTGCCTGAACTTGTGGTCGGTTCACATGATGCTAGAGCCCCGTGGACAGAGCAGTGCCATGGGCATTCAGAGACCTGAGTTCAGCTCCCCGTTTCTCTGCTTCCCAGTTGTATGACTTGGGTAAGTCAGATAACCTCCCTGCGCCTCAGTTTCTTCATCCTCTACAGGACTGTGTTGTGGAGAAGACTGTCTTAGATCAGGTAAATAACTCAACGAATATTTATTGAGCATCCAGTGAGTACCAGGTATGTGCCAGGTGCTGGAGAAGCAGTATAAGGCAGAGTCCATAGTTACCTAATAAATAGCAACCAATTACAATTATGGCAAATGTTACGAAGGAAGGGTACAGGTGCTGTGAGACCATATAGTGGGGGATTTAGCCTTTTCTGAGAGGACTGCTGAGGGTAACAGCAAAGGGCTGAGAAGGACTTAAGCCTGCTTTCTTTTTCACATTAAAGTCACTTGATCTTTCTTTCTGATACCTTTGTAAGTTCACTCTTTATCCTTTGAAGTTCAGTACATCTCCAGAATTAATGGTGGCATTTATTATTTTCTGTCCTTTTTCCTGAAATTTAGTTTATAATTTAATTCAGCAGACAAAGATTCTCATTTCCTTTTTTATTTTCAGGGACTATTTCTCTCCCCTGTTTTGTCTTTGATTACTTTTACCATCCATTCATTCTTTTCTCCTTTGAGAACACTAGCTATGCATTTGTTGGCTACCCTTTGTTTCCATGTCTATTATATTTTCTATAATCACCTGTCCCTCGTTTTTCTTTGCATTGTCACTTTATGTGATTTCCTTTAGTGTACTCTGTGCATCTCTTTCAGCACTTTGTTACTGTGTTTTAGTACTTTTAGTATAGCTTTTACTTCTGTATTGGTTTTCCTTTTTCTTTTTCTTTTTTTGACTTCTGCCAGTTTACTTCTTATATCTTTCTTATGCTTTATCGCTTTTCTTGATATCCTTTGGGATCTTTATGTCAGCTTGTGCTGCCTTTAATTTCTGTGGGAGTGTGCAGGCTGGATTCTGGACAATAAAGGCAGGCTCTCCACAAGTGGCTCCCTTTAATTTCTCCTCCCCGGGAAGGACTACTTCTCCTGGGCCTGTCCATGCCCTTGTTCTCATTGCACCCATCAGAGGAACTCTGCAACACTTTGTGAATTTTGGAGCATCTACATGCTTGAAGTCTAGCAGCTGTTGGTATACTCCCTCTATTCCAGGTTTTCATAGATTTGGCAGCTGTTTTCTCCAGTTTGTGGTTTGAGACAGTGGCCATTGACTAAGCTTTTTAAATTTATTTTTAATTTATTTTATTCTTCTGATTGATTTCAGTTAGTTTTAAGGGAAGAGACCACCTAAATGCCATGTTACCATTTTTAAATAGAAATCAGCAATAGGATGTTATTGGAGATCTCTGTCATGTATTCTTGCTATTGTTTGTGGATTTGCAGATTATCTTGTCATAAAATGCTGTATAGTCACTCATTTGTACATTTGTTTACCCACCCACCGTCAACAAACCCATATTTGAGTGTTGCCATAAGCTTGGATGGAGATGCAGAGAGGAACTATTCATGGAAGGGTAAACTAGTTCTTTCTAGAAACTTCTAGAAGCCAAGGGCATTCTTTTCCTGTTGTTGTTGAGGATTAGGAATGTCCGCTCTGTCCCCACGATTTAAATTTCTTTTTAGTTTTCTTTTTGTCACAAAGGTAATACCCGAGTACACATTTCTTATAAAAACTTCTGATATTGCACATAAAGCAAAAGTCCACCTTGAAACCCTGCTGCTGCTATTGCTGTCCTCCTCTGCCCAGGAGCTTCTTTGGTCAGTTGGATGTTTGTATCTTTTTTTTTTTCATTTTTTGTTTTTAATCCTCACCTGAAGATATGTTTTTATTGGTTTTTTAAATATTTTTAGAGAGAGAGAAACTTTGATGTGAGAAACATCGATTGGCCTTAGCCAGTTTGGCTCAGTGGATAGAGCATCGGGCCTGTGGACTGAAGAGTCCCAGGTTCAATTCTGGTCAAGGGCACATGCCTAGGTGTGGGCTCGATCCCCAGCAGGAGGCGTGCAGGAGACAGCCGATCAATGATTCGCTCTCACTGATGTTTCTACCCCTCTCTTCCTCTTCTCCCTTCCTCTCTGAAATCAATTTAAAAAAATTAAAAAAAAAGAAAGAAACATTGATTGCTTGCCTCCCATATGTGCTCTGACCGGGAATCGAACTGGCAACTCTTTGATACAAGGGCTGTCGCTCCTGCATGCCCACGTTGGGGCTCGAACCCACAACTCAGGCATGTGCCCCAACTTGAAATCGAACCGTGACCTCCAGTTTGCTCAACCACTGAGCTACGCCAGCCAGGCTAAATTAAAACTTTTAAATTAGAATGTTGTTTTGAATATTATCACAGTTCTCTGGTCTATTTATTTCTTTTTCTTTTAAATGTATTTTTATTGATTTCTGAGAGGAAGTGAGAGGGGGAGAGAGAGAGATAGAACCATCAGTGACAAGAGAGAATCATTGATTGGCTATCTCCTGCATATCCCCCACTGGTGATTGAGCCCACAACCTGGGCAGGTGCCTTGACTGGGAATCGAACCCATGACCTCCTGGCTCATAGTTCGACGCTCAACCACTGACCTATACCATTCAGGCCTTTGGTTTATTTATTGATGCATTAAATATACACAAAAGGTACATAAATCATAAGTGTACAGCTCAGTGAATTTTTACAAAGTATCCACCACCCAGATTTAAAAAATACAAAACATTATTAATACCCCGGAAGTCCCTCTTTGTGACAGAGAAGATCACTACTTCCCCCAGAGGTAAGCACTGCCCTAAACTCCAAGAGTAGATTAGATCCTAGAAAATAACCTTAGATTAGTTTTGCCTATTCTGAAAATTCTGTGAATGTAATCACATAGTATGTATTCTTTGGGTTTTTTAGAGTCTTCAGTTATTGTGCATGCAGTGATTGGTTCATTGCTATTGCTGTATACTATCCCATTGTACAACTGTACCATCCAATTACTTTCTCATTTTATTGATGATGGATATTTGGTTGTTTCCAGTTTGGGACTTTCAGGAATAGTGCTGCTGTGAACATTCTACATAGGAGATGCTCACAGGCAGTGGAGGAGAGGGTTCCATTTCATGAGGAAACATTTACAGGGGACTCACAAAGCCTGCGAATGTAACCTCAACCCCAAACAGTTGCCAGACTGAGGGTTCTCACAGGGCAATTTGACAGCACTTGTCTCACGTGGAGATGGTAACACGGTAACAGTGCCAGGGTAGGATGGTATTGGGTGCTACGCACAGCAGGCCAGATGCAGCCCCTTGTTCTGGGATGGTCTCTGGAAGGAAGGAGGAAGAGGTTGCCCAGACAGCATGGGTGGGATTTGAAGTTCTGGATGGCCTAAGTGTAGTGCCAATGTCATTGCTTTTGCCACAGGGCTTTTCCTAAGGAATCCGAAGTTTTGTCCCACCCTTTCAAGTGTAGTCCTTTTGTCTCTCAGGGAGGGAGGTGGCACTGAAGAAAGTATGGAATAAGCCACTTGAGTTTACTGGGAGGAAATTTGATCACATGTTTGCTCCTTTGTCTCTTGTAGCAAAAGGTTCCATTGTCACATGGGGTGGACAGTGAAGATGAGGAAAATATTTCTGAGCAAGATCCAACTTTTATACCACAGCATACACAAGAAAAAGGTAAAAAAACCAAACAAACAAAAAAACACCCAAACACCCACAATTTTTAAATAGTAAAAACATTTTGTGACAATAAATGTTGGTTAACAAGGGGGAACATATAGCCATTGCACCTCCATACTGTGATTCTGTTATTACAAGTAGGACTATTTCTGAATTTTATTTTCACTGGAGGTAAGTTACTCCAGAGTCAATTGCCTGGATATTAAGTTGTACTTATTTTGGAGTCCATTTCGTAAGTTCTGTCCGTCAGCCCTGAGAGGACACCTGGGGAAAAGGGCTACGGCTCAAGCTCTGAAGCTCTACACACTCCTTCCCTCTGCACCCCGACCGAGGCCTGGCGTTGCAAGGGCTGGAGCCCAGTGGTCTCCATGCTATCTCCAGTGCCTGGAGCTGGGCCCAGCCCACAGTAGGCTGTCTCTAAGGGTTTGTTGGATGAATGAGTGCATGGACATGTTTATAATAGAACTCTAACTGTATGTTGCCAATGGTCTGTATATTTTGTCTGGCACTGTGAGAGAATTCAGAGTATTATCGTAAAGGTAGGAAACTCTTTTCAGTTTCCTAAAAGATGGCTTGTGTCTGAGAAGTGAGAAAGAGAGCCCGACATACAGTGGGCACCAATAACTACTTCCTCAGGACCCTCCTGAGAGTTGCTTGTGCTCAAGGAGAGGTGGTTGGAAAATAGAATGCCAGCCAGTAATACCTGGGCCAGAAACACCCATTGGTTAGGTGGCATATTTTATCCCTATGGGAAAATCTGTGTGAATATTAAAGTCATGTAAAAACTGTATTCCTTTTTTAATTATAGAAGTACTACTTTTGCACTGTAAAAAAAATGGAAATGCATAAATATATCAAGTTAAACACACATAATTGTACTTCATAGATAATTAATTTTATTTTATTATTTTTTGTTGTTGATCCTTACCCGAGGATATTTTTTCCATTGATTTCTTTTTAGAGAGAGTGAAAAGGAGGAAGAGAGGGGTGGTAGAAAGAGAGAGAGAGCAAGAGAGAAACATTAATGTGATGTGAGAGAGACACAGTGATTGGTTACCTCCCACAAGCGCCCCAACTCGGGCCAGAGATCGAACTTGCAACCCAGGTATGTGCCCTTGACTGGGAATCAAACCCACAACCCTTCAGTGCACCAGCCAGGGCTAGATAATTACTTTTATTATTTTAATTTTTTTTTTTATTGATTTCTGATGAGATAGAATCATTGATTGGCTGCCTCTGCATGCCCCCTACTGGGGGTCAAGTCCAAAACCCAGGCATGTGCCCATAACTGGAATCGAACCTGAGACCTTTCAGTCCACAGGCCAATGCTCTATCCACTGAGCAAAACCAGCTAGGGCTAGATAATTACTTTTAACATACAATTGGGTATGTATATAAAATACACATTATTTTCTTACCTGCCTTTTTTTTTTTTTAAATATATTTTATTGATTTTTTACAGAGAGGAAGGGAGAGAGATAGAGAGTTAGAAACATCGATCAGCTGCCTCCTGCACATCCCCCACTGGGGAAGTGCCCGCAACCCAGGTACATGCCCTTGACCGGAATCGAACCTGGGACCTTTCAGTCTGCAGGCCGACGCTCTATCCACTGAGCCAAACCGGTTTCGGCTTACCTGCCATTTTTAAATCTAATGACATATCCTGAATATCTCCCTGTGTTCATACATGTCCATCCACTTTTTTTTTTTCTTTGACTTTAAAGAGGAAGGAAGGACGAGAGAGACATCAGTGTGAGAGTGAATATTGATTGGTTGCCTCCTGTACACATCCCGACCCAGGATGGAATCCACAACCTAAGTATGTGCCCTAACTGGGAATCAAACTGGTAGCCTTTCGTATTTTGTTCCAGTCCCTTCTGACCTGCTAAGCTTCTGTTGAGAAATCAGCTGATAGTCTTATGGGAGCTCCATTGTAGATAATAACTGCCTTTAAGATTCTCTCTTTGTCTTTAACCTTTGGCATTTTAATTATCTTGATGTATCTTGGTGTGGGCCTCTTTGGGTTCATCTTATTTGGGACTCTATGCTTCCTGGACTTGTGTGTCTATTTCCTTCACCAAATTAGGAAGTTTCCTGACATTTTTTTAAATAGGCTTTCAATTTTTTGCTCTCTTCTTTTTTTGGCACCCCCATGAAGGTTGGTACTCTTTTTTTAAAAATATATTTTTATTGATTTCAGAGAGGATGGGAGAGGGAGAGAGAGAGAGAGAAACATCAACGATGAGAGAGAATCATTGATCGGCTGCCTCCTGCACACCCCCTACTGGGGATCGAGCCCGCAACCGGGGCATATGCCCTTGACTGGAATCAAACCCAGTACCCTTCAGTCTGCAGGCCTATGCTCTACCCACTGAGCCAAAACAGCTAGGCCTGTTGGTACTCTTAATGTTGTTCCAGAGGCCCCTTAAACGGTCCTCATTTTTTGGATTCTTTTGTCTTTTTGCTGTTCTGATTGGGTGTTTTCTGTTACTTATTTTCCAAATTGCTGCTTTGATCCTCTACTTCACAATCAACTGTTGATTCATTTTACTGTTTCTTCATTTCAGTTATTGTACTCTTTATTTCTGTCCTTTTTTATGTTTTTTATCTCCATTTCTGTTTTTATCTCTTTGTTGAAGTTCTCACTGAGTTAATCTATCTTTTTCTAAGTTTCTTGAGCATCCTTATAACCATTATTCTTTAAAATATATATTTTTTTAAAATATATTTTTATTGATTTCAGAGAGGAAGGAAGAGGGAGAGAGAGATAGAAACGTCAATGTTGAGAGAGAATAATTGATCAGCTGCCTCCTGCATGGCCCTTACTGTGGACCAGCCCCAAACCCGGACATGTACCCTGACTGGGAATCAAACCGTGACTTCCTGGTTCATAGGTCAACACTCAACCACTGAGACACACTGGCCTGGCTGTCACCAGTATTTTGAACTTTGTATCTCTGGTAGATTGCTTGTCTTCATTTTGTTTAATTTTTTGGGTAGGGGGAGTTTTGCCCTCCTGTTCTTTCATTTGGGACATGTTGCTTTGTCTCCTTGTTTTGGCTGCCTCCCTGTGTTTGTATTAGGTAGAGCTGCTATGTGTCCCAGGCTTTGTAGAGTGGCCTAATGTAGTACATGTCCTGTAGGGCCCACTGGCACAGCCTCTGTAGTAACCCGAGCTGAGCACTCCAGGTGCAACCCCCCGCACCCCCTACCATATAGGGGCTATGTACACCCTCCTGTTTAGTAGTTGAGCCTTGATTTCTGTCAATGGGAGGGATTGACCCCCAGGCCAATCAGCTGTGAGGATTGGCCAAGACTGTAGCAGAGGAGCTTTTGTGTAGGGGCCGACTACATGGAGCAGGACTTGCTTCAGCAGGGCTCGGTGCCAGAGGAGTCTGCTGGTGGAGGTGATTGGGTGATGCTCTCATATGGTCTGAAGCTGTCCTCTGGGTGCATTGGCCCAGGAGCCTCCCTGGAGGTGCAGGCCACAGCTAGCCACTGCTTGTGCCATGCCAGGGACCACCCAGCATGTGGCTCATGCAGATAGTTGCCACTTGTGCTGGGCTTGGAGGTGCCCAGGAGAGGCCAAGCTATGAACCAAGGCTGGCTGCTGCTAGTACTGGGCTTGGGCTGCTTGGCAAGAGGTAAAGGGCATGCTGAGGCCAGATGCTGCTTGTTTGAGATTTATGAACCTTTGAGAGATTTTAGCAAAGTCTGAAGTTCAAGCCAAGCGGCTTGGGTGGGTCTGAAAGTTGGGTGAGGATCTCAGGGAATCACCCAGGTAGGGTGAACAGTGTTAGCCACGTAAATGGAGACTCAAGTATGTGCCTGCTGCCAGCTCTATAGGGGGAGGACTCAGCAAAGGAACATGTCTTCTGCTTGCACTTCTGTCTGGGAGAAAGCTACCCCTCCAGCCCTCACCCCAAAGCCAGACAATTTAGTTCCTATGTTCAGAGCAAGTGAGTCTGAGTAAGTCTGAGTGTGGGCCCTTTAAGAGGAACTCCCTGGGACCCCAGCAGCCTTCCATCTTACTCAGACTCAATCTCTGCTGTATTATGGGAACTTCTGTTCCTGGCCCTGGAACCCTGGGCTGAGACTCCTCCCCAGCTGAGATATCCCTCCTGATTCTTAACCTCCTCACATGGGTGTGGGACATGACCATTCTGCATTTCTGCCCCTCCTACCGGTCTCCCTGCGGCTTCCTTAGTTATAGGAGTTCTGTTCAGCTAGACTTCAGGCAGTTCTCAGTGATGGTTGTTCAGTAGTTTAGTTGTAATTTTGAAGCGGTCACAAGAGATGTCAGTACTGCGTTTACCTACTCTGCCATTTTGACTAGAAGCCTGTTTTTCCCCCCCATTTAATCCCCTGCCCTCCCCCAACTTTATTTTGTGAAGAATTTAAGGGACACATAGAAGATTCCATTAAATAGGAAGGAAGTAGATCTGATATAGCATTGGAAGATACCAAATCAAGCATATTGTAACAGTTATTAAAAATGTACATTATTTTAATTATTTTTTTTTATCAGTTTAAACATTTGCTCATCAGAAATTTATTCAGCTTACTATGTGCCAGAAATGATGGAGCCACAGCCTTTACCCTCACATTCTAGTTGCAGGGGAGGATGTGTAGATGGTAAACTGCCTGGGTGCTAAGGCTGGTCGTAGAAGTGGGCACAAAGACCAGAGAGCAATCAACATTGTCTGCCAGTTGTACAAAGTGGCAGGGAGAAGAGGCCATTAGGCTAGAAGGACTGGGTAGGATTTCATCTGGTGCCCAGTCCAGGCTGCCCCAAAACACGTCATCAAAACCAGGTCTGTTAATATTGAATGTCAACTTTAATTGGAAAAATGTTTAAAAATACATTTTTTAAAAAGGCAGTTTGTTTAAAAATAGTGGATTAAGATGACTTTTTGGTAAAAAATAAGCTCTTCATTGATTAGTTGCTCAAGTGTTGGTAATTGTAATGAACCAATAAGCAAATTTATAATGTTGTATGCATCTTTAAGCATTTTTGTTTTTCTGAATTCTATATTATTTTTTTTTGCATATTTGCTTCTAATTTATTTCTCAGCCAATTATTTCTGCTCTGCAAATTAATTGTGGAAAGTTAAAAGCAATGAACTTCTAAAAAGTTGAAAACCCAACTTTTCACCTCAAGGGGTACAGGCAAACTGGGTCATAAGGTCAACCTCTTCATGGAGGATATTAATCACAAGTATATATTTATAAGTTGAAAATGAGTTACTGGACAAGATTTGTTTTCCTGTGTGTCATTGAGGCAGTTTGCTTCAAGGAACAACTACTGTTCTGACCAAGTTGGATGCTACTTCCAGGCAGGCTAGGCCCAGCCCATTTGGGGAATGGCAGGTGGGACCTGTGGAGGGAGTACTGGGGTGGGGTATGTTGGAAAGATGGGGAGGAGCCCTACATGGAAAGGGCTCATAGTCACACTGAGGCATTTGGCCTTGGTTCTGCAATGCTGTGGCCTAATGCAGAAGGTGCTCAGGAATGAGCAGGATAGTCAAGGATGAGCAGTTCAGAGCTGGGCTCCCGGCCTCGCTCTGGGACCAGCTTGCCATGCGATCTGGCCATGCCTGCTGCTGCTCCCTGCCTTGTTTAGCTCTGCTGTAGAAGGTGAGTTTCTGTGATTGTACTCTTCTGAGATGTCAAATGTCTTTATCTGCTTTTAATTTTTTCTCTTGTCTTTTTAAAATCAGATGGTGAACATTCTGTTCTGACTTTAAAGGTAAGATTAGTTTTCCAAAAACTGGTTTTCTCAATAGATTGAATTTCTACCATAATGTTTAAATAACTTTTGATTTTTGGGGGGGAAACCTCCCTTAAGAGTTCTTTCTGATTGGATGTTTCTTCCTCTTTTTAATCCTCATCCAAGGACATGCTTAAAGAGAAGAAGGAAGAGAGAGAGAGAAATATTGATCCATTGCCTTCCCATGCACGCCCCAAGCAGGGATTGAATTTGCAACCCAGGTGTGTGCCCTGACTAGGAATCAAACCAGCACAGGACGATGCTCAACCAACTGAGCCACTGCGGGCAGGCTGAATGGTTTTTTTTTAATACTTAAAAAACTTGAAGAAATTCATATTTTCCACAGTTTAAAAATGAAACTAATGTATTGAGAGGTTTGAAATCACATAATTTGTAGAATGAATAGACAATAACTAATTTGCAAACATGGAAATAGTTCTAACTTAAGTTTTGAATTGTGTGAGGTCATAGGAATTTAAAAATTAAACATTTCTCAGTAGAATCTATATATAAAAAAGCCTAATATGCAAATTGTCCCCACGGGAGTTTGACCAGACAGATCGTTTGCTATGATGTGCGCTGACCACCAGGGGGTGGTGCAGAACGAAGGAAGGCCCCAGCTGGCAGCCAGAAGGCTCCAATCGGCCCTGATCACCAACTAGGCCTAGGGACCCTACTGTGCACAAATTTCATGCACCGGGCCTCTAGTTAATTTATAAACCATCTACTTTTTCAGCAGAAATTAGGAACTTAGTATCAGACTGACATGTAATGGAAAAATTAACAAAAGTTAAAGCTTTCCCTTTCCTCAAGGTTTTGTGCTGAAAAGCAAGAACTTATATTCTTTTCTCGGCACCCTGAAAAACGTGCTTCTCTGCTGTTTATGGGGTCTTCTTGCATGTCCCAAGGAGAAAGTCCTGGCTGGAGTTTGCTTTGCACATCTCTCTGCTCAGCACCTGCAGCCATATCACATGCTTGAAAAATGTGAACTGATGGCCCATTACTCATGGGACCTACATATAAAGACAGTGACTGACTGAACTTACAGGCAAAAAGGCAGAAAGTTTGAACCGAAGATGCTAGCACTCTCAATTTATTAGGCTCATGACTTTTTTCTCCTTAGGATGAAAAAACACCATTATGTGGAAAACCTCCACCCTCCCCAGGTATTTGCCTTTTGAATTTGATTATGATTGAAAAGCTTATAGTGGAAGTATGTCCTCTGGAGCTGTGCTCAGATCCTGGGAGTGGGGACTGGAAGGACCTGTGGGAGGTGCTTAGATACTGGGAGGCTGAATATATGCAAATAAGGGTTCTGCTCTGGGGTTGGAGGCAATGTGAGATTTAGAGATGTTTTCTGGGGCACTCTCCCCTATAATGTTTGTGGAGCTTCGGTAGCTTTCAAAGTGAATTTTGTCTGTTATGCTTCACATCACTATCCAAAAACTGTATTGGGTATCAAGCCTTTTCAGCCTGTCCTCCATTCTATCTTAGGGTTGACTTGACTTTCACCCATTCTGTCTCTGGTTTGGTGTTGTTGTAGGAGTTTGCTAGGGCTCTAACTTCTAGCCCATAGGCTCATTCGTCTTTGTATATATCCTGCCACTTAGCCCATCCTTTGAATTTATGTATTACTCAAAATGTTTGCTTATATGATTTCTATGAAATATCAACAAGCATCTCTTTGAAAATGTTAAATATACTTATTCCAAAATCTTGTCATTTTTGTGCCAGCCACTCTCTCCTCTATAATTTGACTTGGATGCTTTTCTTGGCTCTGACACTTGCTGGTTCTTGGTGGTGTGCCCACCTTGGTCCTTGAGAGCCCCTGTTGGTCTGCCTGGAGACACTGTATCTGCTTACTGCAGGCTGCTCAGATGGGGAAACAAGCAAGGCTGCCAATTGTACAGCCTGTCTCCAGTGACTGACGGGCCAGTCAGGGGTTTTAGGGGTCCCTCTTCCTTATGGGATTCTACACCCCTTCAGGCCTGCCCTGCCTCTTTAGTGCCTGCCTGGCCCAAAGGATTTGAGCCCCATCTGGTGCTCTAACTGGACATCTTTCTAGGCCATTTAGGTTCCTATTATCTGCCAGGGTGAGGCATCCCCACCTTTTGTAGCTGACGTCTCCTGATATATTTTAGGCTGCAGCTTCTGTCTTCAACCTAATCTCAATTGTTTTCTTTCTGGGGTTCCCCTCTTGTTCTCAGTGTAGCTATGGGGTTACTCATTTCTTAGCCTTTCCTTTCATGTTCTAAAGACTGGATATATGCATATCAGGGTCAGAGGGTGTTATCTGGAGTCACCTGTCCCCTCCCTAGCTTTTGCCTGTCCCCTGGGGTGTGTGCTGAATCTACTGTCTGGAGCCACCAGCCTTCCCCCGCTTGTCTATCCACAGAAGCTCTGCTTCTGTTTCCACCTCCACTTGGAGGTGTGCCCTGGCCAGGGAGCCCATTGTAGTTTTCACCTTTTTTGAGCTTTGTGAGCATATCTCTTCATGGAACATCACTCTCTTTTCTTTCCATCTTTCCTTTTTCTTTTCTTTTTTAAATATATTTTTAGTGATTTCAGAGAGGGAGAGAGAAACATCAATGATGAGAGAGAATCATTGATCTCTGCCTCCTGCACTTCCCCTACTGGGGATCGAGCCCACAACCTGGGCATGTGCCCTTGGCCGGAATCGAACTTGGGAACCTTCAGTCCACAGGCTGATGCTCTGTCCACTGAGCCAAACCGGCTAGGGCTCTTCCCATCTTTCTTGCTTTTCCTTCTTAAAATCCTTCGTGGTCTCTGGTTTCCTTCTCTCCATGGTGCCATCAGATACTGCCCACATCTGGTGGCTCCCCTCTGTTTCAGCTGAGTCTGCCTTCAGTGCTGTGGGCCTGTGTCCTAAGCCGAGCTTAGCTTCTCTTGCTCCACTTGTTTCCTTGTCTGGCTAAGTGTCTTCCAAACGCAGATCTTGATTTGCCCCTCCTTATTGGGTCCTGTGGGGCTTTAGCCCCTGAGTCTTTCGCTCATATATGTTCCCATTGTAGTGCTGCCCTCAGAGCTCCTCTGGGCTGGGCCTCATTCCTTCCCTTTCTTTACTGCTGCCCTGAGGGACTCATCTGAGAGTAGAACCTCTTCTTTTCACACCTCTGCCCAAAAGCCTTCCTGGTTCCTGGTCGCCTCCACTCTGCATATTATGATATACAAGCGCCTTCCCTGAGTTCTGCTTCCCCCTCTGTCACCTCTCTTGTCATCCACTGTAGTCTCATCAGACCACTCATTCTTTCTTGTGCAGGCCATTCTCTTTCCCAGGAGCAAAGAGAATAACATGAGGCCTGACACAAAGTAGTTGCTAACATGGTTTTTCAAATGAAGTCTCACGTAATTTTGATGTAAAATTGTAAATGTCAATATTTTAAAACGTTTTCCTTATACCTTTTCAGATATAACTGGTAAAACACGTCAACGATGTATAGAAATAACCAAAGAAAAGTTTGAGAAATTAAAAGAAGAAAATTTGCATCTGAACACAACAAACCAAACACTTACTCTTGAACTTAACATAGTAAAACAAGCAATGAAAGAACTACAATTAAAATTTAAGAGAAGAGTAAAAGAAAATGGAAAGCTGAAAGAGGCCGAGAAGGCATCCTCTAAGGAAGGTGGGGACAACTACAGTTTTTTAATTAAAGGAACAAACTCATTTTCTTATTTTGAGAGTTAATATTTTAGGTTGTAATATTTATTGATTTTAATGTTGATATATTTTAGGTTCTTTTGTGAAATTTGACTTTATCTGCTATATCATTATTGTTATGCTAAAGAAATTCTAATACTTCTGGATTTGATGCTTAGGAAAGTAACTTTACATATATTTCATATCAGTTTGTATCTCATTGAACAGCATATAAAAGTGCCTTTTCACCACATATTTACCAATAATGAGGATTATATTTTTCTTGCTAATTTGATAGGCAAAAAAAGAATCCCATTTTTTAAAAACATATATTTTATTGATTTTTTACAGAGAGGAAGGGAGAGGGATAGAGAGCTAGAAACATTTGACCAGAATCGAACATGGGACCCTTCAGTCCGTAGGCCAACACTCTATCCACTGAGCCAAACCGGTTAGGGCAGGAATCCCATTTTAAATTGTATTTCTCTTATTATCAGTGAGCTTGGGTATTTTTTTCATATCTTTGCATATCATTTTCTTTTTCTTTTATAAATTTTCCCACTTTAAAAAACATGTTTTTATTTATTTTAGAGAAAGAGGAAGGGAGAGGGAGAGATCAAAACATAAACAGTGAGCCCTAGTCGGTTTGGCTCAGTGGATAGAGTGTTGTCCCGCAGGCTGAAGGATCCAGGTTTGATTCTGGTCAAGGGTACATACCTGGGTTGCAGGTTCAATCCCCAGCCCTGTGGGGACATGTGAAGTAGGCAACCAATGGATGTGGCTTTTCCCCTCCCTTCCACTCTCTAAAAATCAATGGAAAAATATCGTCAGGTGAAGATTAGCAACAACAAAAAAAGATAAATAAAATATAAAAAACATGAGCATCTATTTGTTGCCTCCTGCACGCCCCTACTGGCGATCCAGCCCAGCCAGGGCTGCATTATAGTCTTTATTCAGGTTTCTAATGTCTACCTCTTAACAATAGTACAGTTGTCCACGCTAAGAAATTAACATTGGTATATTGTTGTTTTTTAAATTCTCACCCAAGGATATGTTTTTATTGTCAGAGAGAGAGAGAGAGAGAGAGAGAGAGAGAGAGAGAGAAAGAAAGAAATCAATATGAGAGAGAAACATCAATTGGTTGCCTCCCATACACACCCTGACTGGGGACCAAACTCACAACCTAGGTATATGCCCTCACTGCAACCTTTTGGTACATTGGATGACGCTCCAACCGAGCCACAATGGCCAGGGCTAAATTTTCTGACTTTAAATTGAGATATCTGGCTTTTTCTCATTGTTTTGTAAGAGCTCTTTGTGTATTAAGGATGTTAGCCTTCAGTTTGTTGATAATTTAAATCTAAAGGATATTTTTCTTTTATGGCTTATGCCCTTGATGTCAAGTCCTTTTTAACTCTCAGGTTATACATATATTCACTGATTTTTGTCTCTATCCATCTATCTATTTATATAAGGCTAATACTATTGCCTGAAGCAAGATTATATTATTTTCTTCTTATAGACCTTGCATCTTTCTTGTCTTAGTCCCACTTATTTCTAGATACTTTACATTATTTCTGTTATTACTTTGTGGGATCTATTTTCTATTATGTTTTTTAATATTTGGGAAAGTTATTTTAATAAATTTTCCATTTATACTATATGATTTGCAAGGCAAATACTTATATATCATTGAAAACTGACTTTTCCTTTTCAATCTAAAGTTTTTATTTTGCCTTAATTAGTTGTACATGTAAAAATTTCCACAAACTTCCAAAGTGTTGACTATTTAGTGTTAAAAAACTTAGAAACTTTTAATCATTTGAACCTATATGTAATTCACTGCCTCTGTGAGCCCAAAAGGGCAGATGGTTAGCAATTCATATAAAATCTTAATCTATTTGATACATGTTCTTAGAGTATAATATTAATTTTTTTCAGTAGTTGCTGCACCTGAATTACTTTATCTAAGAAAACAAGCTCAAGAACTGGTGGATGAAAATGATGGGTTGAAAATGACTGTCCATCGTTTGAATGTAGAACTGAGCAGATATCAAACAAAATTCAGGCATTTATCGAAGGAAGAGGTAATGTTTCCAATTAAGAAAAATCAGCCTTTTTCTAGCCTTTCAAGTTGAATTGAGGGATTCATATTTATTACAATTTGGCATAAAAAGACACATACAAAGCACAGCATATTCTAGGGACCTTTCTATTTCCTTCTTCTCCCCTCCACCTCCCTTCCTTTCTTCCCTTCCTTCCCTCTTTTTTTTTTTTTTTTTAATATATCTTTATTGATATCAGAAAGGAAGGGAGAGGGAGAGAGAGAGAGAGAAATATCAGTGATGAGAGAGAATCATTGATTGGCTGCCTCCTGCACGACCCCACTGGGGATCGAGCCCGCAACCCAAGAATGTGCCCTTGACCAGAATTGAACCTGGGACCCTTCAGTCCACACGCCGACGCTCTATCCACTGAGCCAAACCACCTAGGGCTCCATTCTAAGTCTTGTTCCTCAAGTTTACAACTGTAATTTATCAGTGCACTAACTCTCAAAAGAAGACAGACTAGTTTATACAGACCCCAAATCACCGAACTCTGGTCAATGGGACTTGCATTCATGGGTCCCACACAGGTTTATAGCAAACAAGAAACAGTTTTTAAATGGGCTCAGGAGCACACCCCCAAACTCTGAAGCTGTATCCCAGGCTCAGCACAAAGGGAGCCTGCAAAAATGGCCATCTCCCACTTTTTCCCTTAAAGGGGTGTAACTGCATACTTTCCTGATTGCTGCCTGAGGGTCTGGCTTCTAAACATCCTGCATCTAGGTGCTGACTGCAGTCCCCTCGTTGGGACACTGTGGGTCTTGGTATCTCCTCAACTACTGGGAGCCACTAAGAACAAAGACAGTGGACTATCACAAAGGTTTGAAAGGCAACCAGGAACTCCAACTGGGCTGATTGGTGAGGTTCATCTCCTATAAGAGACCATTCTGCCAAGACTAGGAGAGGAGGCTGCTTTATCTAATTAGCAACACTAACTCAGAGGGTCCAGGAAAATGAAGAAAGGAAGGAATGTGTTTCAAACAAAAGAACAAAATTAATCTTCAGAAACCAGCCTTAATGAGATGGAAATAAGTGATTTACTCAGTCGTATAACAGTCGTAAAGATGCTCATCAAGGGAGCTCTCCCTCAGGGGAGCACGCCCACACCTTTCTTCCTTCTCAGGCATGCATCTGAGGGCCCCACGAGACTGGCAGCCAGGAGAGCAGTAGGCGGAGGCAGCTTGTCCTGGGCTAACCCCCTGAACCTATCTCCAAGGCCCCCTGTTCTCTGACTCTCCAATGAGCCAAAGCAGCCCTGCCTAGGCTCTCTTCTGTTGCTGCTTCTATCCTAAGCTCTTCCTGTCCCCAGCTTTCACAACAGTACTCTCAAAACAAAAAAATTAAAGATGCTCATCGAGGTCAGGAAAGCAATGCATGAACAAGTGAGAATTTCAACAGAGATAGAAGATATAATAAGGTACCAAAGAAATCATAAAGCTGAAGAATACAATAACTAAACTGAAAAAGTCAATAGAAGGGTTCCACAGCAGACTAAAGCAAATGGAAAAAGGATCAGCAAACTTGAAAACAGGGCAGTGGTATTCATCCAATCAGAGAATCAAAAAAGAATGAAAAAGTGTGAAGATAGCTTAAGGGACTTATGGCATACCATCAAGCAGATGTATATACACATTTTAGAGGTCTCAGAAGAAAAAGAGAGAAAGGGACAGAAACCTTATCAAAGATATAATGGCTGAAAACTCCCCTAACCTGGGGAAAGAAACAGATAACCAGATTCAGGAAGTCCAGAGTACCAAAGTAATCTAAAGAGACCCACACCACCCTAGCCGGTTTGGCTTAAATGTCGGCCTGCGAACGAAAGGGTCCCGGATTCAGTCCTGGTCAAGGGCACATACCTTGGTTGCAGGTTCCTTGGGACCTGGCCCTAGTATAAGGCAACCAATCGATGTGTTTCTCTCACATTGATGTTGCTCTCTGTGTGTTTCTCTCTCTCTTTTCCACTCTCCCTAAAAACCAATTGGAAAATATCCTTGGGTGAGGATTAACAAAAAAATAAATAAGATAAATAAATAAAATAAAGAGACCCACACCAAACCACATTATTTTAAATTGTCAAAAGGTAAAAGGAACACGCAAAATGGCCATTTCCCACTTGGCGTCAGTGAGTCTCCAAGAGAGAATCTTAAAAATAGCAAGAGAAAATGTTCTTCACATACAAGGGGACCTCCATAAGACTGTAAGTGGATTTTTTCAGCAGAAACTGCAGGCCACAGGGGAGTAGGATGATCTATTCAAAGTGCTGAAAGAAAAAATTATGCCAAATAAGAATAGTCTACCTGGAAAAGTGGTCCTTCAGAACTGAGATAAAGAGTTTTCCAGACAAACAAAATTCAAAGGAGTTCATCACCAGCTGACCAGCCTTACAAAAAATGTTAAAAAGAATTCTTCAATGCCCAGCCAGTGTGGCTCAGTGGTTGAGTGTTGACCTATGAACCAGGAGGTCACAGTTCGATTCCCTGTCAGCGCTTATGTGCAGGTTGCGGGCTCAATCCCCTGTAGGGGGTGTGTAGGAGGCAGCCAATCAATGATTCTCTCTTATTGATGTTTCTATATTCCTTCTCTCTTCCTCTTTGAAATCAATAAAAAAAGAATTTTTTTTTTTAAATGGAGTTCTTCAGCCGAAACCAGTTTGGCTCAGTGGATAGAGCGTTGGCCTGCGGACTGAAAGGTCCCAGGTTCAATTCCGGTCAAGGGCATGTACCTGGGTTGCGGGCACATCCCCAGTGGGAGATGTGCAGGAGGCAGCTGATCAATGTTTCTCTCTCATTGATGTTTCTAACTCTCTATCTCTCTCCCTTCCTCTCTGTAAAAAAATCAATAAAATATAATAAATAAATAAATAAATAAATGGAGTTCTTCAAGCTGAAAAGAATAGGTACTAATTAGTAACAAAATCATATGAAAGTATAAAACTTACTGGTAAAGGTAAATATATAGTTAAATTCAAAATACTCCAATATTGTAATGATGTAAATCATACTTCTAGTATAAAGGTTAAAGACAAAAGTATTCAATATACAATAATTTGTTAATGGATAAACAATATAGAAAGGTATAAATTATATCAAAAACAAAATGTGGGGTGGTGGTAAAAATATAGAGCTGTGTGTGTTTATTGTGTACTGAGACCTACCAGTGACCCAGTGAGGGGAATTGTAGTGAGCATGTAGATGCAAGCTGATTAGAAGCTCAAAGTTGTTAATCGCTTAAAATGACTGTTAAAAATGTCTTATGCAAGCCTCATGGTAATCACAAAGCAAATACCTATAATAGATGTACACAAAAGAGAAAGAGAAAGGAAGAATCAAAACATACCACTACAGGAAAGCATCAAATCACAAAGAAAGAGAGCAAGAAAGGCAGGAAGGAATTACAAAACAACCAGCAAACAATGAACAGATGGCAACTAAAAAGGTCATAATAATTAATTAAAATGAAAGGACTAAATTCTACAATCAAAAGTCATAGAGTGGCAGAATAGATAAACGGAAAAAAGATCCAACTATCTGCTGCCTACAAAAGACTCACTTCAGCTGTAAGGACATACTTAGACTGAAAGTGAAGGGATAGAAACATACATTTAATGTAAATGGAAGCCAAAAGAAAGAAGGGGTAACTATGTTTATATCAGACAAAATAGAGTTTAAATTAAAACGGTAAAAGAGACAAAGAAGGCTATTACATAATGGTCAAGGAGTCAATTCATCAAGAGAATATAATAATTGTAAATATTTATGTACCCAATATCAGAGCACCTAAATATATAAAGCAAATATTAACAACTGAAGGGGGAAATAGCAATAATAGTAGGGGACTTCAATACCCCAATAATAGATAGGTCATCAGGATGGAAAATCATAAGGAAATATTGGACTTAAACTGCATGTTAGATCAGACAGACCTAATACAGAACTTTTCCTCCAACAGCAGCAGACTACACACTCTTCTCAAGTGCACACGGAACATTCTCCAGTACAGACCATATGTTCGGACACAAAACAAGTCTTAATAAATTTAAGAATATTGACGTATCAAGCATCTTTTCTGACCACAGTGTATGAAATTAGAAAGTATAAGAAAATTTACAAATATGTGGACATTGAACAACATGCTACTGAACAACCAGTGGGTCAAAAGAGAAGTAAAAAAATACCTTGAAACAAATGAAAATGGAAAAGAAAAAAAAAATACCTTGAAAAAAATGAAAATGGAAGCATGACGTGCCAAAACTTATGGGAAGCAGCAAAAGTAGTTCTAAAGGGAATTTTATAGCAATAAATACAAACATTAAAATCTAAGAATAAATGAATAACCTAAGTTTACACCTTGAGGAACTAAACAAAAGAAGACTTTTAGCTCAAAGTTAACAGGAGGAATAAAATGAAAATCAGCAGAAATAAATGAAATAGAGACTAAAAAGACAACAGAACACATCAATGAAACTAAGAACTGGTTTTTTGAAAAGACAAATACATTTGACCAACCTTTAGCTAGACTAAGAAAAAAGATGATTCAAATAAAATTAGAAATAAAGAGGAGGCATTAGAACTGATAACACAAAAATACTAAGGATCATAAGAAACTGTGAACAGTTATACTCACCAAAATACTACATGGTATTAAAAAAAAATAGTTGAACTTATAGAAAATAGGTGAAATTTGAATATATTCTGTAGATTAGAATATTGTATATCACTGTTGAGTTCTTGATTTTTATGATGGCAGTGTGGTTGAGTAAGTGAAGGTTTTTCTTTTTAGGAAATATACACTGAAGTATTACAGGAAAGGAGGCATTTTATCGCAAATTATTCTCAAACATTCCAAAAGAACATTTTCTACACATATAGATGCATAGATTGCTGATGCATAGTTGATTAAGAATATCTTAAGGCTTGAAATTTCAGAATTATAGTTTAATTTGTCTTCAAAATGTGTTTTGTTCTTAGAGTATAAATATTGAAGGCCTACCATCAAAGGGCCCTATACCACCCTGGTTGGTAAGTAAAAGTTATTTAATTTCAGGCCCATATTTTCTGGGCTATATTTGAATAGCTATTCAAATCCATTCCAAATTAAGTGTATTTTATCATCTTTAAAAAAATTTTCTGGTTGTGTTTAGATGTAAGAAATATATTAACCTTCTTTACCAACCTTTATCTTCAGTTGGATATAAAGTACCTGTCACCCTTGTTGCTGGCTTATGAAGACCGAATGAAAGAAAAAGACGAGCTCATTTCCACCCTTCAGGTAGGTTGGCAGATGTCAGAAGAGACAAGATTTATTAAAAAATAACACCATTTTAAACTTTGAATACCTATTCAAACATCTAACAGGTACTCAAATGTTTGTTAAAGGAAAGGAGGAAGGAAGGAAGGAAGCAGGCTAGGAGGCAGGGAAAGAAGGAAGAGGGGAGGCAGGTTGGGAATGATGGGTGGAGCAGGAGGGGTGGGCAGGGTTAGATGGAGTTATGGAGGGACAGGGTGGTGCTGCATTGGAAGTTCACAGACAGGCAGCCCCACATGGGCTGGGGTCTCGGTGCAGGAAGGCAGCAGTGCAAGGCACTTCTTTCCTGATTGTCTGCAGCTGCAAACACCACTGTTAGAAGGGACGTTTGGGCAGACTGGGGACGGTAGCAGGCCATGAAGAGGCGACCCCAGGGAATTACAATTATTGAGATGTTGGAAACACTGAGAAAGTGAGGTTTTCATTCTTTTCTGCCTTGTTCACCTCTGTTTTTTGGGAGAATGGCTTCTGGCAGTGGAGCTCATTTGAATTACACAGGAGACCCAGGCTCTGTGGGTGTTGCAGATATGTCCATGCCTTTCCAGGCTGCATACCTCTATTCCCTCATTGAAGTGGCCAAAGAGATCTCTGGAAGTGGAAGGTTCCAGGGAGAGAAGTGTTGGGGTTTTTTTGTTTGTTTGTTTTTGTTTTTTTAATTGTTCTCTTTTTTTAAAAAAATAATCTTTATTGTTCAGATTATTACAGTTGTTTCTCTTTTCCCCCCATAACTCCCCTCCTCCCAGTTCCCACCCCACCCTCCGCCCTCACTCCCCACCCACTGTCCTCATCCATAGGTGCACGATTTTTGTCCAGTCTCTTCCCGCATCCCCCACACCTTTCCCCCCCCCCCCAGAATAGTGAGTCCATTCCCTTTCTATGTCCCTGATTCTATTATAATCACCAGTTCATTCTATTCATCAGATTATTTATTCACTTGATTCTTAGATTCACTTGTTGATAGATGTGTATTTGTTGTTCATAATTTGTATCTTTACCTTTTTTACTTCTTCCTCTTCTTAAAGGATACCTTTCAGCATTTCATATAATCCTGGTTTGGTGGTGATGAACTCCTTTAGCTTTTCCTTATCTGTGAAGCTCTTTATCTGACCTTCAATTCTGAATGATAGCTTTGCTGGATAAAGTAATCTTGGTTGTAGGTTCTTGGTATTCATCACTTTGAATATTTCTTGCCACTCCCTTCTGGCCTGCAAAGTTTCTGTTGAGAAATCCGCTGACAGTCGTATGGGTATTCCCTTGTAGGTAACTGAGTTTCTTTCTCTTGCTGTTTTTAAGATTCTCTCTTTTTCTTTTGCTCTTGGCATTTTAATTATGATGTGTCTTGGTGTGGTCCTCTTTGGATTCCTTTTGTTTGGGGTTCTCTGCACTTCCTGAACTTGTAAGTCTATTTCTTTCACCAGGTGGGGGAAGTTTTCTGTCATTATTTCTTCAAATAGGTTTTCAATGTCTTGCTCTCTCTCTTCTTCTGGCACCCCTATAATTCGGATGTTGGTACACTTGAAGCTGTCCCAGAGGCTCCTTACACTATCCTCGCATTTTTGGATTCTTTTTTCGTTTTGCTTTTCCGGTTGGGTGTTTTTTGCTTCTTCGTATTTCAAATCTTTGGCTTGATTCTTGCGATCCTCTAGTCTGCTGTTGGAACTCTGCATAATATCCTTTATTTCAGCCAGTGTATGCTTAATTTCTAGTTGGTCCTTTTTCATACCCTCGATGGTCTCACTAGATTTCTTGAGGATCTCACTACCTTTATCGGCGGTCTCACCCGTCTTTTGGAGGATCTTACTAAGTTTGTCGGTGGTTTCTAGAAAGTTCTTGAAAAACCTTAAAAGTGTGGTTTTGAACTCTATATCCAATAGTTTGCTTTCCTCCATTTCTGTCATTTGTGTCCTGTTTCTTTGTCTCCACATTTTTTATGCTTCCCTGTGTTGATAGAGTGGCTTTCTGTGCTAGATGTCCTATAGGACCCACTGGCTTAGCCTCCCCAATTACCTGAGGTGGACACTCTTAGTGCACCCCCTTGTAGGCTTTGTGCACAGTCTTGTTGTAGTTAAGCCTTGATTGTTGTAATTATCACTGGGAGGAATTGACCTCCAGGCCAATTGGCTGTGAGAATCAGCTGTGTCTGCAGTGGGAGAACTTCTGTGCTGGAGACACCCTTCTGGGGCAAGACTTGCTTCAGTGGAGCTTTGGTGCTCCCTGAGTCTGCCCCCTGAGTGTGTCCCTTATGGATCTGAGGAGCTGCAATCTGGATGGTCCCACTCTGACCACCGGGCATACTGGCTCTTGGATCTAAGGAGGTGCTAATTTAGCCTCTGCCTGAGGCTACCCAGCAGGAGCTACAAAGAGATCTGCAGATTCCCCTTCCTTTTTTGGAGTTTGGAGGTGCCCAGATGAGGCCCAGCTGTGAAGCAATGCAAGCTGCTGTGGGGCCTTGGGCCTTCTCTTGGAAATTCTGGGTCTGTCTGGCCCAGCTGCAATTTGTTAGGTAATTTTCAGATTGCAAATGGCTGGGGCATTCATATGCAAAAGCCTCTGCTAGCAGCCTGGGTGGGGCGGGGTCTCAGGGAATCATCAGGGCGGAGCAAGCAGCTATGGCTGATCCTCAGCCCTACCCTAAGAGGCCCCGCGTCTCAGTGTCCTGGTTATTGCTGCAAGCACCTCTGAGGGAAAGCCGCCCTCAAGTTCCAAGTTCTGCCCGCTGCCAGACATTCCAGTTTCTCCCCGTATGAGTCTGGGTCCCCAGAGACTTCCCAGAACTGGAGTTCAGAGCAATTGAGAGCTTGTGACTCCCTCCCGATTCAAAGAGACAGCCGCGTCCTCAGGTGCCAGCCCCTTTCCGCGCCCGCTCGAGCCTCCGTACCTCTGCACTTTACTTCCGCAGCTCCTCTGAGTCTCAGTGCTTTTCTCTTTCCCTCTAGTTGTAGAATTTCCACTCAGCCAGCCTTCCTGTAGTTCTGGATGATGTCCGTTTTGTCTTTTCGTTGTATTTTTGAAGTTGTTGTGGGAGGCAGCAATTTCCGGTGTTTACCTATGCCGCCATCTTGGTTTCTCCGAAGTGTTGGATTTCCTGGGATCCCTGGGTCTCTTAAGAGCCACCAAGCCTTTTCTTTTTTTAAAAAAATAATATATTTTTTATTGATATTTTACAGAGAGGAAGGGAGAGGGATAGAGAGTTAGAAATATCAATGAGAGAGAAGCATTGATTAGCTGCCTCCTGCACATCCCCCATTGGGGATGTGCCCACAACCAAGGTACATGCCCTTAACCAGTATCGAACCTGGGACCCTTCAGTCTGCAGGCCAATGCTCTATCCACTGAGCCAAACGGGTCAGGGCAAGCCTTTTCTTTTTTTTTTTTTTTTTAAATATATTTTATTGATTTTTCACAGAGAGGAAGAGAGAGGGATAGAGAGTTAGAAACATCGATGAGAGAGAAACATCGATCAGCTGCCTCTTGCACACCTCCTACTGGGGATGTGCCCGCAACCAAGGTACATGCCCTTGGCCGGAATCGAACCTGGGACCTTTCAGTCCGCAGGCCGACGCTCTATCCACTGAGCCAAACCGGTCAGGGCAAGCCTTTTCTTATTACACTGTCCCGTGCACATGGCTCATGTAATGCAGTTTTAAAAAACATTTTAAAAAATATTTATTGATTTTAGAGGAAGGGGGAGAAAGAGAGAGAGAAAGAGAGAGAGAGAGAGAGAGAGAGAGAAACCTCGATTTTTGCTGTTCCACTTATGTATGCACTCATTAGTTGATTCTTGTATGTGCTCTGACTGGAGATCAAACCTTGTGGGAGAACTGAGCTGACCGGCCTGGGCTGTAATGCAGTTTTGAAAATTTTCTTCTAGAGGACGAATTAATCTTATACTGATTGATGAAATATCCACCCTAATAATTAATAAAATTACTAATTCAGTGCTCTTTCTAAAATGGGTCAGGAGCTCCGGCCAGATAGCTTAGCTGGTTAGAGCATCATCCAATACACCAAGGTTTTTTGTTTGTTCCTGGTCAGGCTTATACAAGAAGCAACAATGAATGTATAAGTAAGTGGGACAACAAATCAGTGCTTCTCTTTCTCTATGAAATCAGTAACTTAAAAAAACCCACAGGAAACATTCTCTGTAAAGGCCATTTAGTAAATAATTTAGGCTTTGCTAACCATGCAGTCTGTGTTTTACAACTACTCAGCTCTACTGTTGTACCATGAAAGTAGCCATAGACACCCAACAAGTGAGCATGTTTGCATCCCAATAAAACTTTACTTACAGCTGGGCTGCCATGACTCAGTGGTTGAGCATCGACCTATGAACCAGCTGGTCACGACCTATGAACCAGGTTGAGAGTTTGATCCCCAGTAGGGGGCATGCAGGAGGCAGCCCATCAATAATTCTCTCTCATCATTGATGTTTCTATCTCTCTCTCCCCCTTTCCCTTCCACTCTGAAATCAATAAAAATATATCTTTTTTAAAAAACTATATTTACAGAACAGGCAACTGGCCTGCAGGCTTTAGTTTGCCTGACCCCTGTTCTGAAAAGAGCCAGTGGACTGCTAGCAAGTGGGAGGTAGAGGAGTTACTTGGCATTGTATTAAGTTAAACAGGTATAAGCATAAATTTCTGTTGGTTGGGAGAAGAAAATGTAGAGTCATCCCAGAATAAATATTGGCACCTAGGATTCTCACTGGAGGACAGCACAACACGAACACTGGCCAAAGGCTGCCTGAGAAAAGCTGAGATGGAGAAGGCCCAGCAGAGTGCCACAGGTGTATGTACACCTGAAACTAAGCCTATCTAATAAAGACAGAATATGCAAATTGACCGTCACTTTGCAACAAAGATGATGGCACCCACAGCCAATAAGGAGGGAATATGCAAATTGACATGACAAAGATGGCGGTGGCCAGGCCAGGACACTTGCCATGGTGATGATGCAGGCGTTCCGCCTCGCCCTGGCTGCTCCGGGCTTCTGGGCAGCGTGTAAAGGTGGTGCCAGCAGCTGGGAAGGAAGGCCTATTTTTGCACGAATCTTTGTGCATCGAGCCTCTAATATAAAATAAGATTAGATGTTAGCTGTACTAGTAATTAAATTTTTTAGCGCCACAAACATAGACTTAGGAGTCAAAAACTAAGACCAAGCAACAGTCCTGGAGTTGGGTCTAATGACTAATGAAGCTATACTGACTGAGGGTGTTAGCAGAGGCTCTTTTGTAATCGTAATGGAGCCAAAGTAAGAGACTCCAGCCCCCACACTGATCTCTTGAAAAGGACTTATTTTTATCTAAAAAAAGCTCCATTTTATCCTCCAAAGTCTTTAAACAAAGGAAAAATTATAGTGTTTACAAGCATCTCTGCTTTTCTTATGGCCTTTTTATTTTTCCAAGTATTTGGCAGTTATAGAAAAATGTTATGAAATTAGGATTTGAATGTTTAAATCCTGAGGTTCAGCGTCCCTTGTGCTCAGCATTGTGTTTATCTCGTGTTTTCTCAGGAGACTGAGCGCCTCCAGGGCAGCACTTGGTGTCAGGCTGCTGTTACTGTGAGACTCGCTAAAAAGCTGTTACCATTTGACTTTAGCCCAGCAACAGCAGTAGAACTAAGAAATATAGGTATGTGTGTATGTGTATATTATGTTTACATAAATTTTATTTCAGGAGGAAATGAGAATGTTCAGGATGCGTGTCCAAGAAGTGGTGAAAGAAAATAAAGAATTGCACCAACAGTTAAACAAGAATGGTACTGTTACCAGTGAGGAATGGCAAGTAGTGTTGTGTTTCTGATATTTTACTAATTAAAAACAAAAGATAATGTGAATAAACTTATTAAATCATTAAATATATTTTCTTTTTTAGAGTAAAATACTTTAAGGGAGAATTTCTAAGAAATTCATAAGGTATAATGAAACCCTAGTAGTTTATTCTGAACTTGTATTTTAAAGATTACTTTAAAAATTCTAAATAGGATTTTAAACCTGAACTATATTTACTGTCCCCATTTTTATTTCCTGACATATTTTTTTAGATTGTTTTTCCCACCCCAAACCTGTTGGATCCCACTCTTTCTTTCTTTTTTTTTAAATATATATTTTATTGATTTTTTTTAAAAAATTAATCTTTATTGTTCAGATTATTACAGTTGTTCCTCTTCCCCCCCCCCCATAGCTCCCCTCCACCCAGTTACCACCCCACCCTCTGCCCTTACCCCCCCTCCCACTGTCCTCATCCATAGGTGCACGATTTTTGTCCAGTCTCTTCCCCGCATCCCCCACACCCCTTTCCCCTCTGAGAATAGTCAGTCCACCTCCTTTCTATGCCCCTGATTCTATTATATTCACCAGTTTACTCTGTTCATCAGATTTTTTATTCACTTGATTTTTAGATTCACTTGTTGATAGATATGTATTTGTTGTTCATAATTTGTATCTTTACCTTTTGCTTCTTCCTCTTCTTAAAGAATACCTTTCAGCATTTCATATAATACTGGTTTGGTGGTGATGAACTCCTTTAGCTTTTTCTTATCAGTGAAGCTCTTTATCTGACCTTCAATTCTGAATGATAGCTTTGCTGGATAAAGTAATCTTGGTTGTAGGTTCTTGGTATTCATCACTCTGAATATTTCTTGCCACTCCCTTCTGGCCTGCATAGTTTCTGTTGAGAAATCAGCTGACAATCGTATGGGTACTCCCTTGTAGGTAACTGACTTTTTTTCTCTTGCTGCTTTTAAGATTTTCTCTTTGTCTTTTGCCCTTGGCATTTTAATTATGATGTGTCTTGGTGTGGTCCTCTTTGGATTCCTTTTGTTTGGGGTTCTCTGCACTTCCTGGACTTGTAAGTCTATTTCTTTCACCAGGTAAGGGAAGTTTTCTGTTATTATTTCTTCAAATAGGTTTTGAATGTCTTGCTCTCTCTCTTCTTCTGGCACCCCTATAATTCGGATGTTGGGATGCTTGAAGTTGTCCCAGAGGCTCCTTACACTATCTTGATATTTTTGAATTCTTTTTTCTTTTTGCTTTTCCAGTTGGGTGTTTTTTGCTTCTTCATATTTCAGATCTTTGACTTGATTCTTGTGATCCTCTAGTCTGCTGTTGGAACTCTGTATATTATTCTTTATTTCAGTCAGTGTATGCTTAATTTCTGGTTGGTCCTTTTTCATATCCTCGAGAGTCTAGAAATTTATCGGCGATTTCTAGAAAATTTTTGAAAAACCTTAAAAGTGTGGTTTTGAACTCTATATCCAATAGTTTGCTTTCCTCCATTTCTGTCATTTGTGTCCTGTTTCTTTGTCTTCACATTTTGGCTGCTTCCCTGTGTTGATAGAGTGGCTTTCTGTGCTAGGTGTCCTATAGGACCCACTGGCTTAGCCTCCCCAATTACCTGAGGTGGACACTCTTGGTGCACCCCATTTGTAGGCTGTGTGCACAGTCTTGTTGTTGTTAAGCCTTGATTGTTGTAGGTATCACTGGGAGGAATTGACCTCCAGGCCAATTGGCTGTGAGAATCAGCTGTGTCTGCAGTGGGAGAACTTCTGTGCTGGAGACACCCTTCTGGGGCAAGACTTGCTTCAGTGGGGCTTTGGTGCTCCCTGAGTCTGCCCCCTGAGTGTGTCCCTTATGGATATGAGGAGTTGTAATCTGGATGGTCCCAATCTGAACACTGGGTACACAGGCTCTTGGATCTCTAAGGAGGTGCTAATTTAGCCTCTGCCTGAGGCTACCCAGCAGGAGCTACGGAGAGATCTGCAGGTTCCTCTTCCTTGTTTGGGGTTTGGAGGTGCCCAGATGAGGCCCAGCTGTGAAGCAATGCAAGCTGCTGTGGGGTCTTCGGCCTTCTTTTGGATGTTCTGGGTCTTTCTGACCCAGCTGCAGTTTGTTAGGTAATTTTAGATCTTAAAGGGCCAGCCCATTAAGATGCAAAAGCCTCTGCTAGCAGCTTGGGTGGGGCGGGGTCTCAGGGAATCAACAGGCGGAGCAAACAGCTATGGCTGATCCTCGGTCCTGCCCTAAGAGGTCCCGTGTCTCAGTGTCCTGGTAATCACTGCAAGCCGCGCTCGAGTTCCGCCTGCTGCCAGACAGTCCAGTTTCTCCCCGTATGAGCCTGGGTCCCCAGAGACTAGCTTGGAACTGGAGTCAGGGCCATCGGGAGCTTGTGTCTCCCTCCCGATTGCAAAAGACACCGGCATCCTCTGTTGCCAGCCCCTTTCTGCGCAAGCTCAAGCCTTCGTACCTCTGCACTTTACTTCCACACCTCTTCTGAGTCTCAGTGTGCTTTTCTCTTTCCTTCTAGTTGTAGAATTTCCCCTCAGCCAGCCTTCCTGTGGTTCTGGGTGATGTCCGTTCCGTCTTTTAGTTGTATTTTTGAAGTGGTTGTGCGAGGCAGCAATTTCAGGTGTTTATGCCACCATCTTGGTTTCTCCGGGTCCCACTCTTTCTTAGACTCCTCTGCTCACGGGGCTTTAGCACAGTGAGCCCTCGACTCGGCCCTGCCCTGCCCTGCCCTGCCCTGCCTTGCCCTGTGCAGAGTGTTGCCTTATTTCCATCCTGTCGCTGATGCTGCTCCCTTTCTCCCCTCCAACCCCCCTGCACTCCTAGTCACCCATTAGGGCTGCTCAAAGGGGCTGGTTAGTAGTTCTTCCTAGAGGCAGAGTTAATTGCTCCCTTGTCTCAGTTTCTGCCCTAGCCTTAAGCTCAGGCTGTGTGTTCCACATCTGTCTCCCTCTCCTCTGTGAGCTCAAGGGCAGGGCCACATCCTGTTCGTCCGCACAGCAGCAACAAATGCCTACTCACTGAATTTGAGATTCTTCAAAAGTCTAAAGCAGGGGTGGGCAAACTTTTTGACTCGAGGGCCACAATGGGTTCTTAAACTGGACCGGAGGGCCGGAACAAAAGCATGGATGGAGTGTTTGTGTGAACTAATATAAATTCAAAGTAAACATCATTACATAAAAGGGTACGGTCTTTTTTTTTTTTTTAGTTTTATTCATTTCAAATGGGCCGGATCTGGCCCACGGGCCGTAGTTTGCCCACAGCTGGTCTAAAGGGACTATCCAGGCAAGACTAAGAAAGCAAAAACTATTTAGATATATCTTTTTTGCTTAGAGTATATGTTATGTTTAGTATTTTTTAAAGTATTTCAACATTCCTGGAAAAAATTAAATATTTTCCATATGTGAGATTCAGAAATTCAAAATCAAGTCAACAGCATTCTTACTGGTAGGTTAATTTTCCTGATTTTATGGTCACTGATGTGCCAGTTGGGACTGGCCTGGCAGCTACTGGATCTTGGTGCACTGTGACTTCTCCTGTTGAACTTGGATTTTCTACTGTCGGGTTTCCTAGCGTCTCCCCCTTCAAACCCTCCTTGACTAGCTCCCTGGGAAGCAAGTCAGCGAGACTGGGCCTCATGTGCCTCTAAGAGTCCTCTTGAGAAACTGGAACCTCAGATACTTTCTCTAACCTGTATATAGCTGTAAGTGAAACCTGTTTACTTTCCTTAAAATAAAAATAAGAAAAATAAGTCCTAACTGGTTTGACTCCATGGATAGAGCATCGACCCATGGACTGAAGAGTCCCAGGTTCGATTCTGGTCAAGGGCACATACCTTGGTTGCAGGTTGCCTGGCTCTGGTTGGGGTGTGTGCAGGAGGCAACCAATTGATGTGCCTCTCTCACATTGATGTTTCTCCCTGTCTCTCCTTCTTCCTTCCACTCTTTCTAAAAATCAGTGGAAAAATATCCTCCGATGAGGATTAACAAAAAACACGAAAAGAAATCCTATATAATAAAAGGCTAATATACAAATTGACTGAACAGCAGAATGACTGGTCGCTGTGACATGCACTGACCACCAGAGGGCAGACACTCAATGCAGGAGCTGCCCCCTGGTGGTCAGTGCGCTCCCACAGGGGGAGCGTGGCTCAGGCAGAAGCTAGGCTCATGGCTGACGAGTGCAGCAGCGGTGGCGGAAGCCTCTCCCGCCTCTGCGGCAGCAGTAAGGATGTCTGACTGCCAGCTTAGGCCCATGAGGAACGGGCCTATGCCATTAGTTGGACATCCCGTGAGGGCTCCCGGACTGCGAGAGGGTGCAGGCTGGGCTGAGAGATCCCCCCCCCCCCCCAACTCAAGTGCACAAATTTCGTGCACCCGCCCTCTAGTAAATAAAATAAAAGGAAGAAAGACAGATCCTACTTTTAGTCCCATCCATGTTCCCCAATCCTGTGTTTATTGCCATTTGAATTGTGCACCCTGCTCTGGTGGTGGCGCTGGTGGGGAGGAGAGCAGCTCTTAGGTCTGTGCAGTGCCTGTTGAGGCCCCTTCGAATTGACTGTCCTCTATCTCAGGAAGGGGACCCCGGGCTCTGGAGCATCACACTCCTGAAGCCCCTCACAGTCGTGCCCTCCCGTGCACCTCCTTGGCTGCTGCTCCCTGTACCTCCAAAGGTGTGAGGTACTGTACATCCCCAGCAGATCCTCAGGTGCACTGACTGCACTTTAGTGGAAGTTTTCTCCTTAGTTTCAATGCAGCTCAATAAATTTCTAGGCTGCAGCTTCTTTTCCTAATGTCCCCTGACCAATTGGATCACCTCAGGCTCAGTTTCTTTACCTATAAAATGGGCAGGAGTGCTAAACTAAATCCGAGGTTTTTGTCTCTTTTGTAGGAATAGGGAAGCCCTTTCCTTTACAAAAGAAAGAAGGGAGGAAGGGAAGGAGAGAGGGAGAGAGGGGGGAAGAGAGGGAGGGGAGGGGAGGAGGGAAGAAAGTAAGTCTTATAAGGAAGTCCAAAACATAAAACAGACTAAATGGATCTGCTCTGTGCAAAGCAGGAATGAGGCCTTCTCTCCCATGGTGGGGTAGCGGGTAGGGACACCTCCAGGGTGCCAAGGAGCTAGTGCACAGCCACTGTCAGAGTGAAGTCATCAATATAAAACCTTGATTCCTTTCATCCTTTTTCCTCCTCCTCCGCCTCATTCTTTAGTTTAGAGTGGAAATGGAGATAATTTACTGGCGTACGTGTACTTTGGGTGGTAAACATTTATCTAGATCTCTACGGTTCTTTCCGCTCATTCGAATTGGTATTTGTGACCATGAAGGTTGCCTTGGGCTGGGGTTAACTTTCTACTAGCTGTAAGGAAAGGGTTCGCTTGTGAAATTAGGTTGGGCAGTCTCAGTAGAGTTTAAGGAACTGTCCAAAGGCTATTGGAGGTGGGGCTTTTTGTTTGTTTGTTTTTGCAAATATGATTACAAGTCAGTATTTTTTAATTAAAATGGGAACTTTCTAAATTCTTTAAACTATTTCATTCTGGCTTCAAAATAACCCAGTGGGTGGGGGGATTGGAGGCTTATGTAGATGAAACAAGGTTAGCCATTTGATAATTGTTCAAGCTAGGTGTTGTATATACATGGGAGTTAATTGTTCTGTTCTTACTACTTTTGTATATGTTTGAAATTTTACATTTTAAAAAGTTACTCAGAAATTCATAATTTAAACTTCATTCTGTCCTTTCTCCCCATTTAATGCATATGGTGGGGTTAATGTGTTAATAACATGTTTAGCATTAAAACATGTCCAAGTGCAGCAGGAGGCAACGATCGATGTTTCTCTCCCCACTCCCTCCCTTTCTCTTTCCCTTCCACTCTCTCTAAAAATCAAGGAAGAAATATCCCTGGGTGAGGATTAACAAAACAAAAACCATGTCCAGATATTCATTCCCTACAACATCTCCTAGTATTACTTTCTTTTAGACCAGTGATGGCGAACCTATGACACGCGTGTCAGAGGTGACACGCGAACTCATTTTTTTGGTTGATTTTTCTTTGTTAAATGGCGTTTAAATATATAAAATAAATATCAAAAATATAAGTCTTTGTTTTACTATGGTTGCAAATATCCAAAAATTTCTATATGTGACACGGCACCAGAGTTAAGTTAGGGTTTTTCAAAATGCTGACACGCCGAGCTCAAAAGGTTCACCATCGCTGTTTTAGACTCTGACTTTCTCTAACCACGGAGTAATTTTGTAAATCACTCGTAGGCATCGGCTTCAGACTCAGGCGGAATTGGTTTTAGAGGAAAACAGGTTGTTGGTAGAGCAGCTGGAGATTCAGCAAAGAAAAGTCAAGGACACCCACCAGGAGCGTCTCCAGGAAGGTGAGCTGTCTTCCCCGTGAGTGATGGCGATGCCGTGATTTTGTCCTGTCATTTTACACTTGTACCCCGCTTTCTGGGAAAGCTTCCCTCTAAATGGAAAATAGAGAAGATCATGTTTCTTAGCATATAGTTTCCTTTACTGAAATGCTGTTGTTTATGCTACAACATATCCAGCCTTTACCCATTATGCTTTGATTGCTTCCTCTTAGGCTACAGTGTTGCTTTAATTATTCTGTAGATTTTATAAATCAATTGTAGGTGACAACACAAGGATCTGCGTCTGACTATTTGTTGAATGAGTAAATAAGTGGTACTACTGGGTCTCTAAACAGTTTCTCTGTGCTTTGCCCTTCCTGCAGAGCTGTAGGTGCTATCAGAGGTTAAACCTGTCAGATACTTTCACAGGTGTCCTTCCCCGCCCCTAGGGGCCTCAGTATATATAACTGGACTTTGAAGTGGGCCAGATAAGAGTCATTTCTTCCACTTTCATAAAAACCAAAATTTATAAACAAAAAGATAGTGGCATTTTTCCTTTTGTTTTACTGAATTTTCTTTTCCAGTGAAGAACAATATAGGACAGGAGGTCGAAATACAAGCTGTCTTGCATGAGCCCAAGTAACCCTTCCTGTGTTTTCCTTCCTGCACCCCGATATTGAACCCTCCCCTTCCCACAACTGGAAGAGTTAAACCAGCAGCCTCTGCTGCTGCTGACTGAGGCTAGCACTTCCCTTGTTTCCAGTAGCCAGGACATGTTTGAAAGTGAGAGCACCTCAGAGTCCAGCGAGTTTCCTCCACAGGACACCCCCACGCCCTGGTCTGCGCAGCACGGAAGTACGTGCGCCTGCTCTGGCGTTATTTGTCTGAAAGGGGAGAGAGTGAATGATGTTGAGCCTCCTGTCTTTGCTTTCAAGATTAGAGGTGACAGGGAAAACTGATTTCATATTGACTCAGCTGAGTGTTCTCAAACAGAGCAGCTCTGAGTAGGTATGATTCTTCGGGTCATGCGGGGCGGGGCCAACCTTTTGGCCTATGTGATTCAGTCAGTTGCCTATGTTATTTTTCCATTTCCCAGAAATAGCTATTTATTTTGACCAACTAAGTGTTTTTATGGAGTGGAAGGGTTTAAAGTTCTTTGCTGTAATACTACTATGTACTAGTTTCAACAGATGCCCAGGAAGTGAGTTATTATTACGTACTACTCTGTCAAATAGGATGAAGTATTTATGATTTACTTTAGATACCGGACATAATAAAACAAAAACTTAATGAAAAAAGGGAAGGAAAATAATGGAGAAAGATTGGCTATTTTATTATGATTGGCGTCACCCAGGAGAACGGAAAGCTAATGCCCAAAAGCCCAAACTTGAAGGTTTACAGACAAGGGGTTGTATAGAGCAAAATCACAAGTTATCATGAGTAAGGTCAAGAGTGAGGGAAGGGGCCCTGGTCGGGTAGCTCCGTTGGTTAGAATGTCCTCCCAGTATGCCAAAGTGGCGGGTTTGATCTCCAGCCAGGGCAGCTACAAGAAGCAACCAGTGAATGCATAAATAAGTGGAACAACAAATCGATGTTTCTCTCTCTCTCTCTCTCTCTCTCTCTCTCTCTCTCTCTCTCTCAAATCAATAAATGCATTTTAAAAAAGAGTGAGGTAGATAATAATTTTAAGTCTTGCGGTTAGCTTTGAGTCTCTCAGTATGGTTTCACGGGGCCATGGCCAGAGGTCACTCTGCTTTAGAACTCGAGCTGAAACACAACACAGGCCATGATGTTATCTTTAGCTTAATGGAAACCCATACCTTGTGACCCTGAGTCCAGGCATGGCCATTGTTTCTGGCTGCCTTAGGGGGTTAATGACCAGAAAAGGAAAGGGCTAAGTCGTATTAAGTGGGCATGCTGTGAAGAAACGGAATAGTACTGGGGGTCCATATTAAATCAGAATCATACATTAAATCAGGATCCTTGGTTTCATTTGACCAAATTGATGTCCTTGAAAATCTTGCAGTTTTAGGGCTGACATCCTGAGGTGTGCTCGCATACCTACATGTGACTAGGGCTTCAGTTTTTAGACAGTTCCTTGAAGATTAAAACCATATCTTGTTAAATATTGTATATTTAACAATTATATCAAGATATTGAACTTCAATAAGAGAGTTTATGTTTAGTGAATGCTTAATATAGGGATGGTAATTTCTAAGTACAATGTCTTTGGTATTAATTTATCAATCTCCAAAAGATTTTTAAAATATTATTTTTTATAAGCTGGCTCATTAGTAATCATTAATCATATATTAAATTTCCTGTACCAAGTCTTCGTCCACCCCTTTTGTTTTTCAGTTTCTAAGCTGACTAAACAACTAATGCTTCTGGAGACTAAAACACAGAGCCAAGAAAAGGAGCTAACGAAAAGCAAGAAGCAACTGGAGAATTTATGTACCGAATGCCAAGAACTGAAAACACAGCTGGAGGGCAAAATAGCAATGAAAGTTCATACTTCAATTGTAAATGAATTACAAAGGTAAGGAATTAATGCCTTTTCAAGGGTTAATGCACCACAATGCATATGTTATAGGCGGAGTGGAGAGAGGTTGCTCTTTTCTTTCTTTTTTTAAAATTTTTGTTCCACCTTTTCCTGAGTCTCTGAGTCATTGTAGCTGCATGATCACATGTGTCTATGAGTCTGATAATGGTAAATACTTTATTAAAGTAGAAGAGGGATGTCTCTGCACTTTGTGTGTATGTGTGTATGATATTTTTCTCTACTGTCCCAGCCTTTATTGATGTTAGAACCAAAGATAATTTAAAGGAGTAGAACTGAAGCCTAGAGATCCAGCAATAAGGAACTGGTTAAGTGAAAGGATGCAACCATAAAATGGAATACAACACAGCCATTAAAAATTATGTCACAGCCCTAACTGTTTGGCTCAGTGGATGGAGACTGGCCTGCGGACTGAAAGGTCCCAGGTTCGATTCCTGTCAAGGGCATGTACCTTGTTTGCAGGCACATCCCCAGTAGGAGGTGTGCAGGAGGCAGCTGATCGATGTTTCTCTCCCATCGATGATGTTTCTAACTCTCTATCTCTCTCCCTTCCTCTCTGTAAAAAATCAATAAAATATATATTAAAAAAAATTATGTCACAGCCTGACTGGCAGGGCTCAGTGGTTGAGCATCAACCTGTGAACCAGGAGGTTTGATTCCCAGCCAGGGCACATGCCCAGGTTGCGGGCTCAATTCCTGGTGTGCAGTAGGCAACCGATTAATGATTCTCTCATCATTGATGTTTCTCTCTCTCTCTCCCTCTCCCTTCCTCTCTGAAATCAATAAAAAAAATTTTTTTAAAAAGTAACTTCACGAAAGATTATTTTTTACATGAGAATATAGCCTATAGTGCTAAGTATTTTCTATTTGATATACATAAACTATACAAAAATGCCTCTCATTAAGTAAAAGGTACATTTTAGATGCAGGGGATTTTTTTTATTAGATAAAGGGGATTTTAATTAAATTGGTTTAGTTAAGACCAAAAAGATGAAGTGGACACTGCCAGCTCATCTTCAGCCCTCACCTCTAACAGGCTAATGTAGTGGTTGGCAAACCGCGGCTCGCGAGCCACATGCGGCTCTTTGGCCCCTTGAGTGTGGCTCTTCCACAAAATACCACGTGCGGGCACGCACATACAGTGCGATTAAAACTTCGTGGCCCATGCGCAGAAGTCGGTTTTCGGCCTGGGCGAGTCTATTTTGAAGAAGTGGGGGGTGTCGGTCGGTCGGGCGACACGGTGCAGGAGGGCCGCGGGAGAAGCAGCGCGGGGGAGGCGCGCGATTCATGCACGAGTTGAGTGAGCCAGTCAGTCAGCAGTGACAAAAGTACCTACTCGAAGCATAAAGTTACATGTATTTTTCCAATCAGCTGCAAATCCTACAGGTATTTTTGTCATCAATTTAAGAATTGTAATTCTTTTGTGTTGGTGGCTTAAAAAATTTGGCTCTCAAAAGAAATTTCAATCGTTGTACTGTTGGTATTTGGCTCTGCTGACTAATGAGTTTGCCCACCACTGGGCTAATGAATACAACTTGAAACATAGGCAAATCTTGCTGGTCTAAGAGACGGTAAAGGCATTTCCTTAGTATTTAAACATATTAACATAATCAGTTACATACATTTAAATATAAAATCAATATCCTTTAGGCTTACTTTTTAATAAGATAAAGGATAGGATGCCTTTTAAAGATTTTTTAATTGATTTTTAGAGCGAGAGGAAGGGGGCAAGAGAGGGAGAAACTTTGATGTGAGAGTGAGACATAAGTCAGCTGCCTCCTGCACGCCCCCTACTGGAGATCAAGCCCACTACCCGGGCATGTGCCCTAACTGGGAATTGAACCGAAACCTTTCAGTACACAGACAACACCCAACCAACTGAGCTACACGGGCCAGGGCTTGCAAGCGGGTTTTGATATTGGATTCACCATCTCTGTGAAAGTTGAACATTGTTAATCAAGTTCAATCATATCTTTAGAAAGGAAAAACAGTAATAGCACTTGCTGGACCAAATTACTTTCGGATTTCAAAAAGCTGATCATGTCCATTTAACCGCAAGTCACTCTTATGTAAATCAGGACTGCCCAAAGAAATATTCTCTCAATCTTTCATGATCTGAATTCTGGAGTATGAGATCAATTTAAATATGGTACACATAAAAAAAGTCACGAGATACTTTTGTGTTAAATAAGGCATCTATTCATTAGTTGCTTTTTTGAGATAAGCTATCAAGTCTTCCCTTTGTGCCTTCTTCTTAATGCCAGCAACAATCATTTTTGTTCTGGGGATGTACTTCTTGGGACTCTCCAAATTTTCCATCAGCATCTCCTCTCCCCAGGTGATGCCTTTGTTCTGGTTAGGCCTGACCTGTTTTTCACCCAAATAGACCATGAAGACTTGGCGCAGTCTTGTGCTTGCCTCCTTTGTGTACAATACGGCACTGGGTACACTTTTGGAAAACGTCTTCTTGCCCTTCTCAACATCACCCATTTTTAAATTGGGCTTTCATCACATGTGATACAAAGGTTCTTGCTTGCAAGCCAGACGTCCTGCTCTCTCACCACAGTATATTTTTAAGTGAAGAGATTAGGTTACAAAACAGTAAAAAATGATCACACCCTGTCTGGTGTTGCTCAGTGGTTGAGCGTCAGCCCATGAACCAGGAGATCATGGTTCAATTCCCAGTCAGTGCACATGTCCAGGTTGTGGGCTAAGTCCCCAGTAGGGGGCATCCAATAGGCAGCCAATCAGTGATTCTCTCTCATCATTGATATTTCTATCCCTCTCTCCCTCTACCTCTCTCTGAAATCAATAAAAACATTAAAGAAAAAAACAGAGAGTGATCACAATTGGCTCTGGCCAGTGTGACTCAGTTGGAGCATCATCCTGTATACTAAAAGGTTTCAGGTTTGATTCCTGGTCAGGACACATACCTAGGTTAAGGACTCAATCCCCTCTTGGGGCACATACAGGAGGTAACAAATCGAAGTCTCTCTCTCTCTCTCTCTCTCTTTCTCTCCCTCTCTCCCCCTACCTCCACCCCTCCCTCCCTCCCTCCTGCTTTCCCTCCCTCTGTTCCTCCCTTTTTCTCTAAGTTAAAAAAAGTTTTTAGCCATAGTTTGGCTCAGTGGATAGAGCAGCCGTGGGCAAACTACGGCCCTCGGGCCGGATCCGGCCCGTTTGAAATGAATAAAACTATTGAAAAAAAAGACCGTACCCTTTTATGTAATGATGTTTACTTTGAATTTATATTAGTTCACACAAACACTCCATCCATGCTTTTGTTCCGGCCCTCCAGTCCAGTTTAAGAACCCATTGTGGCCCTCGAGTCAAAAAGTTTGCCCACCTCTGGGATAGAGCCTGCAGATTGAAGGGTTCCAGGTTAAATTCTGGTCAAGAGCACATGCCTGGGTTGTGGGCTCAATCCCCAGTAGGGGGCATGCAGGAGACAACCGGTCAATGATGCCTCTCATCATTGATGTTTCTATCTCTCTTTCCCTCTCCCTTCCCCTCTAAAATCAATAAAAATCTATTAAAAAATTGTTTTAATAAAAGAATTATTTGCCCAGCCACACTCTCTCTCCTATCCTCTAGGAGCTCCAGCCCAGGTCCTCCAAGGATGGGTGGGGAGACGCTGTGCAGAGGCCTTCCAAATGACCCACCAGGGGCTGGAGGTTTGGGCTGATTATCACTTGCCTGGCAAGTGGCTGCTTCATTGCAGCCTCTGTGTATTGGATACAAGCCTGTGATGTTTTTGTCCATCAGCCGGTTGCAGAAGGAAGATGAGAAAGAAAGTGCTGAAATGGAAGAGTTGATGGAAAAGTTGACGGTCCTGCAAGTGCAGAAGAAGAGTTTGCTGTTAGAGAAGAACAACTTGACAGCTAAAAACAAAGCGCTGGAAGCTGAACTCGAAAGGGCACAGAAAACAAATAGGTCTTTATATATATTTTTCTTAAGCTTTTTAGTCATTAAAAAACAATTAAAAATAGTCTCTTTTTCTTTTTCTAATATTAGCTATAAAATAGAAAAGAATATATAAGTACAGTAAAAGCTTTCCTGGTGACCAGCATTTTTCTAGTCTATCCTATATACTAAAAGGCTAATATGCACATCAACCCAACGGTGGAGCAACCGTTTGCTATGAGATGCACTGACCACCAGAGGGTAGACACTCAATGCAGGAGGTGCCCTGTGGTGGTCAGTGTGCTCCCACAGAGAAGCACCACTCAGCCAGAAGCCAGGCTCACGGCTGGTGAACACAGTGGTGGTGGCGGGAGCCTCTCCCTCCTCCACGGCAGTGCTAAAGATGTCCAACTGACAGCTTAGGCCCGCTCCCTGTGGACTGGCTCCCCGTCAGTTGGACATCCCCCAAGGGCTCCCAGACTGCAAGAGGGCACAGGCCGGGCTGGGGCCTCCTCCCCCGCCCAAGTGCATGAATTTCGTGCACTGGGCCTCTGGTAGTTCGCATATTGTTGAGAATTATAAGATGATTCTAAGACTATGAAACTTCTAGTTCTCTCTTAACCTTTTCCTAAAAGTCTACTTTGGGATACTGAATTCCTTTTCAAAAGTACCTTTTAGAATATGAACCTAAAAATTAATAGAATAAAATATTATTAGCTTATTAATTGTGTCAAAACATTTTGTGATTTCTATAGGCTTGACTTTGAGTCAATAATTATGTTGAGTTTAAAATTAAATTCAGTTACCATTTCTCATCTTGAAACAGATTTTGATCGCTGAAGAATAACTTGTTGTTTTTATAATACAGATATTCATTATGCTCTAGCCATCCAGGTTAATGAGTTTTTTATTCCACCATTTGGGGAACTCTTTAGGAGATCTCAAAAAAAAATTGACGGCCTCAAAAAGCAGGTTGAAAAAGCCATGGAGAATGAAATGTCTGCCCATAAGTACCTGGCAAATCTCGTTGGCCTGGCGGAGAATATCACTCAGGAACGTGACAGTCTTATGTGTTTGGTAAGTCTCTTCAGTTACTCCATACACTGTAAGTTTATATGCAAACATAATTTCAGGAGTATATTTTTTGTTTTACAAAATTATCCATAAACAGCTTCATCTTTTTAAATTTCAACAGCAAAATTTCAAATTCTCCAAAATTTTATCTTTCAATCATGGGGGAAAAACATTTTTAAAAGTCAAATAACCCAAACTTTTAAATAATGGCAAATTATATTTTAAAAGGTAAACTAATGGAGTTAGTCCATTTAGCTAAATGGGAACAGTAGTTATCGGGTATATTACGCACACAGATGCACCTTTATATTCTCTCTGTAAAGACTTAATATATTCCTTGTTTGAAGAACATAAGAATCATAGACAGGTTAAATAGAGTTCATCCTAAGGACACAATTTAAAGGGCAGTGATATTCATCCCCTTGTTTCTAACAACACCAGTCCTCAGGAAGAGAAGGGAGGAAATTATTGGTGGTGATGATGCTCTACGCAGCCAGCAGGAGTGATGCCATGGACATGATCCTTGGTATCTCCACAATGATTTTAAAAGATGTCTACAATAGGATGTACAGTGAAATAAAATAGATGCTATGCCAAGCTATATGCATTGAGAAAAGTCTGATAGGAATTACCACCAAATGTTACAGTGAGTTAGATATTCAAGTGGTGGAAATATAAGAGATATTTTAGAATCATGGTAGAATTACAAGAAAATTTTTAAAATCATTTTACTTATCTGCATTTTATGATTTTTCTACATTGAACACATTGCTTATTTAAGCAGTGTTGGTAGTGTAGGGTCAGCAGTAACAGTAACATCTAATGGATGTCATTAGAAAAGAGACTTGAGAACTTTCTGAGAGAGTCAGAAATTGGCAGTTGGAAGTAACTCGGCCCTTCTCTGGTGAATGAAGTGTGGAGAGTCTGTCAGGATGTGTCACAGGCTTACTCCCATTTGCTAGAAAGATATTACGTTCCGCCATAGGAAAATGCACAGAGGTTTTAGCTATTGTTTATATAAGAAGAAATATAAATAGTATCCAAATCTTGGGGAAAAATTTTGATCTTTTTAAAAAATTTTTAAATTTTATTTCAGAGAGGAAGGGAGAAGGAGAGAGAGAGAAGCACTGATGTTAGAGAAACATTAATCGGTTGCTTCCCTGTTTCCCCTTCTGCTCTGCCTCCTGGGCTTACCCACTGGTATATCAAGAGGCAAACAGAGGGCTTATTGAAAAACATAAACTGCCAAACAAGCCCATTTATCTAGCAGACATTCATGGGGACCTGGCTGTCCCGTGTCATTGCCACTGTGAAGACAAAGCCAGCCTGGCCAGTATTGCTCAGTGGTTAAGCATCGATTCCTGGTTAGGGCATGTGCCCTGGTTGTGGGCTCAATCCCGGGTAGGGGACATGCAGGAGGCACGGGTAGGACATGCAGGTTCCTCCAGCCCACATGGGCCAGAGAGCATTCCAGGCTTCCATGATGAAGTTAAGATCTTCCCTGACCCTTAGGTCCACCCCTCATATTTATGAGCTTAGGATAGTAATATAAATGGAGGCCACATACTATGTATTCAAATACTTAAAGTTATAAATCATGACACAATGAAATGTGTTTTCTCCACCTGCCCTGACCTTGGTTATTATGGCCTGAAATCCAGGCCTGAGTTAGAGTCTTCAGAACCTTCAGACATGGGGGAAGCTGCTCTCATATGCCCTGGCCCACCCATCATGAGGGATCTCTGTACACGCAGACACTGCTGTCCCCTTGATCCTGCAGGGTCCTTCCCCTGGGGAGCCCCAAGGCCAGCCCCCTCTAGTAGGAGTTCAGGGGTGGTACTGGCTGCCTTTGCACTTCCCTGGGGCTGTGACCCATATACTCCCACCTTCCCCCTTCCTGGTCTCTTGGGCCTTATGAGAGCCCTTTGTATTGATATTGGCATCTTAATTTCTAATCCTGCCTTTGGGGTGGGTTTTCTGTGTGACTTGTGGCAAGTTAAATAACTCTTTTATTTTTCCTTTCTAATAATCAAATTGCCGCTACTAGTCTACTCTAGAAGGGATGCTTAGTTTTATAATTTTTAAATGATTTGAAATAATTTATAGTGCATAGTAGTTCATGTCCCATGTAGATATTAATATGAATCATTCAGCTTCAAATTATATCCCTCCTTGGAAATACTGCCTGTCACATTTGTTTAGAGAAAAGCATTGTGCATTCATATTCTCCTTAATTTTGTAATTATTCAAATAAATCAAGTTAAAGTTTATTTGCATCTTGGCACTTACTCCTTGGATATGATTGAAGGAATGGTATATTCCATAGGATAGAGAAATGTGTTAGAACCCTTGCAACCTCTCCCACTCCCTGGTCCTGGGGGGCACAGATCTCCTGTTTGTGCCCAGGAGGGACAACCTGCATAGTGTTCCACTCTTGCCCCTCCTCAGCTCTTGGCCAAGTTCTGCCCACAGCTCTCACACAGGGAGTGGGAATCCAGGTGGGGGCAGGTGGGGTTGGGCCAAAACAACTGTCAGAATGAAGATCATTTGGGAGTAGTAATATTTTTTGCAGAATTTTTTATTCTTTTAATTTGCCACTGTAATACTGAGAGCCCATTATTTTTCTTTTCACCTTTCTCCTTAGGCCAAATGTTTAGAAAATGAGAAACATGGAGTTCTCGACAAAATTATAAAAGGCAATATTCGCATGGGAAGGTTGGAGGAAAAAGTCAAGGTAAGTGATCATTTAGCCTTAAAGATTACTTTTTCAGATGGGAGCAGAGGCTTACTGGGTACAGGTTTCCACAGCAAGGTACATCGCGAATGTGTGTAACGCTGCCCATCCAGAGGTTCAAGCAGCACGTGGTTTTGCTGGCTGGAACGCCACCTCTCCAGTGGTAGCACCTCTCCGCTCATTGAATAAAGTGAAACTCATCTGCACAGTAAGATACAGTGCAGATGTGGTTGGTTTGTTTTTGTAAAGGCTACAGAGCCCGTTCGGTGTGGCTCAGTGGTTGAGCGTCAACATATGAACCAGAAGATCACAGTTCAATTCCCAGTCATGACACATCAGGGCTGCAGGTTCAATCCCAGTAGGAGGCATGCAGGAGGCAGCTGATCAATGAGTCCCTCTCATCACTGATATTTCTATCTCACTCTCCTTCTTCCTTCCCCTCTGAAATCAATAAAAATATATTTAAAAAATAAAAGGTTCAGAAAAATCTCCAGGCTATATCCTTAAGTTAATGTTCAGGCTTTATGATCAAACCTAGTTCAGTTGTTGGTTCAATTGGGGGGTAGCATTGACCTACTCCTCTCTTGCACCCTCCAGTTTCTCTGCCCAAGAAAGCCGTTCTCATTGTACTGACGCTCCTCCTCTTGGCCGCCTCCCATACTTGACCATTCTCCTCTCCTTCGTCTGCATTCTGACTGCTGGTCGCTCAGCATGCATCCACAGCCTCATCAGGCACACCGATTTCTCCTGGCCAGGGGCAGGGAGAGGACCAGCAGGCCAGGGGCCTGGGAAGATGGGGAATAAGACCCAGGACCTCTGGGCTCAAGTGCATGTAATATAAGACAATGATTAAAAAGGTCTGATAAGTGGATAAATAGAGTAATGACATTTGTTTGATGTGTTGGAAAATTAACAAACCAAAAAAAGCAAATCGAAACATTGGCTGGCTGTGTGTAAATACTCATAATATTGAGTGAACATAGTATGTTGTGCATTTGTCTGTTTTATTTTAGGGAACGTAAGGTTTAGGCCTGAATTATTTACTTTTAAAAAGTTAAACAATATTTAACTTAAAATTTCTCAGAACCAAATCTGTGTCCTAATATAATGAATAGATTTTATTTTTCCTACATTTCATAAATATTGAGTGAAAGAAGCCCAGCACAAATGAGTACCTATAAATATGATTGCATTTATATAAAGTTTAAAACAGGCAAAAGTAACCTGTTTGGTGCATTAATTGTAAAACTAGAAGTCAATAAAAAATATATTTTTAAATATTCTATGTATTACATTGGATGATAGTTATATGGTATTTTCAAACTATTAATGAAATTGTTCATATAGGTTGTTGTTTTTTAATATATTTCTTTATTGATTTCAGAGAGGAAGGGAGAAGGAGAGAGAGATAGAAACATCAGTGATGATAGAGAATCATTGATCGACTGCCTCCTGCACACCCCCTACTGGGGATCGAGCCTGAAACCCAGGCATCTGCCCTTGGCCGGAATCGAACCTGGGACCCTTCAGTCCGCAGGCTGATGCTCTATCCACTGAGCCAAGACAGCTAGGGCTGTTCATATATGTTTTATGTCTCCCCCAAATATCCACGTGTCACCTTACCAATGAGGCATATCTCAACTATTTTCAATTGGTGGTCATCTATACTTTCACACTCCTGATTCTCATTACGTTGCTTTATTGTTTCTTCCAAAGACAACATTCTAACAGACTATATAATTTATTTATTATGTTTATTGCTTATTGTCTGTCTCTCCTAACCAGACTATAAACTCCACAAGGACAGGGATCTTTTCTATTTTTGTTCACTGATATATCCCAACCACCTAGAATCCAAATAGCATTGGATTCATAGTATTCAATAAATTCAATAACTGTTTGGGAAATTAATTAAATAATATATTTTACAATTTAAAAAATTCAACAATATCAAGCCCTGGCCAGCATTGCTCAGTGGTTAGAGTGTTGGCCCATACACGAAAGGGTTGTGAGTTTGATTCCTGGTCAAGGGCATGTACCTGGGTTACAGGTTCAATGCCCGGCCCTGGTAGGGGCACATGCAGGAGGCAACCAAACAATGTCTCTTTCACATCAGTGTTTCTCTTTCTCTCTCTTTCCCCCTCCCCCACTCCCTTCCACCTCTCTAAAAATCAATGGAAAAAATATATCCTCAGGTGAGGATTAAGAAAAAACAAAAAATTCAACAATATCAAAAGCAGTATACAGCCGAAACTGGTTTGGCTCAGTGGTTAGAGTATCGGCCTGCGGACTGAAAGGTCCCAGGTTCGATTCCGGTCAAGGGCATGTACCTGGGTTGCAGGCATATCCCCAGTAGGAGATGTGCAGGAGGCAGCTGATCAATGTTTCTCTCTCATCGATGTTTCTAACTCTCTATCTCTCTCCCTTCCTCTCTGTAAAAAATCAATAAAATATATTTTTTTTTTTTAAAAAAAGCAGTATACAAAACAATATCTCAACTCTGCATCAGAAAGGCTAGAAGAAATACACCATACTGTTAGTGGTAAGACTCTGCCTAGAAGTATTATGAGTAGTAATAAGCAATTATGGGTTTTTGTTTTTTCTGGTTGGCATTTATTTCTAAAAGAGAAAGTCTGATCTTCAGAGTGGGTGGCCTTGTCTTGAGAATCCATCTCATCATTGGTCATCTGAATAGGAATAGTAAAAGGGACCACCCAGCCACAAGAGAGGAAACCTGTGAGTCAGATTCGGTTAGACAGGGCAGATCTCTGGGGAAGTGAAGAGACCTGGAAAAGGCTTGAGAAAATCCAGAGGTGATCTCACAAAACTCCAGCAAAATCTGACTTGTAAAAGTGAGGGCATCCCCTTGGAAGTCAGGGCTAGGAGGAGATCTAGGAAACTCAGAGCTGCAGGTGGAAGCCATTCACGACCTGGCTGAATTCTGAGAGCCAGGGAGGAGGCTTCAAGAGAGGTGGAAGGCGTCCCTGGCCCAACCAACCCATGCTCCCACCCTCTTAGGAACCTCATCTTATCTCAGAGGAATCCAGTGCCCTCCATACAAAAACACCTTAAGAAAATGGAAGAAAAGTAGAAGTATAACTCTCCTATACATGATGAAATGCATCACAAAGTGTTGCCACAAAGGAGATAAAAATTGAAACCTATACTCTAAAGTGGATTGATAGGCAGGTAGGTAAATAGATAGGCAGGAGGTAGCTAAAACTTAATAAAGCAGTCAAACCTAGGAAGAAATACCACAAAGCAGAAACAGTGCCCTAAGAAGAGACAGCCAGACAAAGGAGGATGTGAAATGGAACGGGTACAACATGGGAAAGAAGTAGAAGAAAAAGAAATCATTTCAGAAATGTGAACTAAATTGCAAGGAGAATGTGTTCATAAAAGCACAATAAGGGACATAAAGGATAGAGATGAAAAAGGCAAAGACAAGAAGGCAGAAGTAAGAATGTCAAAAAGACTTCAGTAGAAAGTGATAAGAGATCCAGTGTCCTATTGGTAGTCCCCAAAGAAGAAACTAAACAGTGGAACTTATTCTGGTGTAACCATAATTCATAAAAACTTTTTGAGAGAAAAGAAGACTTGAATCTACATATTGAAAGGGCACATTATATGCCTAAAACACATGGACCCAGAAAATTGACATCAACACCTATAACTTTAAGATAAACAAAGAATACCTTGAACACTCATGCAAAAGACCACGGCATAACAAAGAAAAAACCACGTTGGCATCACACTTTTCAGTAACAACACTGAATGCCAGAGACCTGTGGGCTACCATCCATACATATCCAAGGAAAGAGAGTATGAGACAAGGATATTTCCATCCAACCAAGCTGCTCTTAAGATGTTTTGACCATGCAAAAACTTTGTCCTAAGGATCAATCAAACCGAGTTTAGCCAACCAAGAAATAATTGGGCAGACTTTGGAAAAGTATTAATAGTAAGAATATATTAAACTGTGGACTAAGAATTAAAACAGGGCCTTAGCTGGTTTGACCCAGTGGATAGAGCGTCGGCCTATGGACTGAAGGATCCTGGGTTTGATTCTGATCAAGGGCACATGCCTGGGTTGTGGGGTCAATACCCAGTAGGGAGCATGCAGGAGGCAGCCAATCAATGATTCTCATCATTGATGTTTCTTATCGCTCTCTCCCTCTCCCTTCCTCTCTGAAATCAATCTATAATAATAAAGGCATTATCTGCTAATTAGACTAGACATCCTTCCAGACGACTTTCTGGACGAAGCCGGGGCTGCAAGGGATGCCCAGGTCCCGGATGCCAGAGGGAAGCCAGTGCTAGCAGCCAGGGGAAGGAAGGCCTACTCTTGCACGAATTTTGTGCATCGGGCCTCTAGTAAAGATATATTAAAAAAAAAAAAAAAAAAGCAGGGACAAGGCTGATAGAATAGAATGTAAATGTTCTCTGCCGATGTAGAAACAATACAACCAATGAAAAACTGATAAGTGAAGGGGGAAGGAAGGTAGAAAATAGAATAAACTAGCCGACTGCTTCATATGCAATAACTTGAGTCGAAGGATATCATTTAAAGCTGAAAAATCAAGTAGGAGGCACTTAAGCATATTTAAGTGGGGGAAGAGTGAAGAAAAGGTTATGAGCTAAAATGTTACTTACGAGCTCTGGCTGGTATAGGTCAGTGGATAGAGTGTCAACTTGTGCACCGAAGGGTTGCAGGTTTGATTCCAGGTCAAGGGCATGTACCTAGTTATCAGGTTTGATCTCTGACCCAAGTCGGGACAAGTAAGGGAAGCAACCAATCGATGTCTCTCTCACATCAAAGTTTCTCTCTCTCATCTTTCCCCATCGCTCCCTCAATTCCACTCTCTAAAAATCAGTGGATAAAAATATTCTCAGGCCTAGCCAGTCTGGCTCAGTGGATAGAGCGTCGACTTATGGACCAAAGAGTCCCAGAGTTGATTACAGTCAAGGGCATGTACCTTGGTTGAAGGCTCCTTCCTGGA